GGCAGCGGACCCAAACTGGCCAAATGGATATGCGATACCATATGAGGTCTGCTCAGCAATAAAAGCTAAGAGAAAGGAGGAGGAGGGGCATTTGCTATTACGACATTTGTCTTCCAGAGCAACCGCTATGCGTACTGAAGCCCTACTTCCCAGGAACTGGCTGAACATTGCCTGCTGATGGGAAGTAGAGAATAAATCTTTTGTTTTCCTTTGCTTCCACGTGTGGCCTTTGCTTTTGCTTTGATTTATTAAACTGCCTTTATCTTGACCCACGATTTTTTTTCCATCTTATTTTCTCCCCCCCGTCCAGCTGAGGAGGGGAGCAATAGAGCAGCTTGGTGGGCACCTGGCATCCAGACAGGGTCAACTCACCACACAAGGTCACACTACCAAGATGTTTCTGTCTTTGCTTTCTAATTGCTCTCTGGCTTTCCAAGAGAGAAAAGTGAAGAGAAGCACCTTTATCAAAGTAGATTTTAGTAAAGGACACATCTTGTACGTGGACCTCACTTCAGGCAAACCTGTCTCTAAGAATGTCTAGATGAACAACTGTGATACACTAGATAATGGCTCTGCTTCAGAAACTAATTGAAAGCATACTCTGACACCAGCCTAGCTAAACACTTATTTAGAGAAGTCTGTTACATAAAAAGGAAACTAAAATAGCAGTTCTCAGAGCATGTGCCACATGCCTATTCAATTTTGGACACAGCTGAAATACAGTGGGTTTGTGTCCTGGTTGTGGCAGGGATAGAGTTGGTTTCCTTCCTGGTGGCTGGTGCAGTGCTGTGTTTTGGATTTAGGGTGAGAGTAATTTTGATGGCGCGCTGATGTTTTGGTTGTTGCTGGGTGGTGTTTGCATTGGTCGGGGACTTTTCGGCTTCCCATGCTCTACCGACTGAGCAGGCTGGAGGTGCACAAGGAGTTGGGAGGGGACACAGCCAGGACAGCTGACCCCAACTGGCCAAAGGGACATTCCATACCATGTGACGTCATGCTCAGTACATAAAGCTGGGGGAAGAAGAAGGAAGGGGGGGACGTTTGGAGTGATGGCGTTTGTCTTCCCAAGTCACCGTTATGCGTGACGGAGCCCTGCTTTCCTGGAGATGGCTGAACACCTGCCTGCCCATGGGAAGGAGTGAATGAATTCCTTGTTTTGCTTTGCTTGCATGCGCGGCTTTTGCTTTCCCTGTTAAACTGTTTTTTTCTCAACCCACGAGTTTTCTCACTTTTACCCTTCCGATTCTCTTCCCCATCCCACTGCGGGGGAGTGAGTGAGCAGCTGGGTGGGGCTTAGTTGCCGGCTGGGGTTAAACCACAACAGTTTGATTTATAACTAAGTGGTTTAGACCCTACACGCTTCATAAGTTTGCTCCTTTCTTTATGTACCTTCTCTATAGCAGGGACCAACTGGAGAACTTAACCTCCCATTTTTAGAAGTTCAAGTCTTCTTGGGTTTTGATTATTTTTTGCCTGTTTGTTTCACAGCTGAGTCCCCAACTCTCACTTCCCCTCCAATAAGCTCACCTAAACAATGCATGGTGGGTTTAAATATGTACACAGGACTAAACAGTAGCTACATACACTACTATAGTATTTTTTATTTTTATTTATTTTCTTTTTTTTGAAGAGGTGGTGGGCTACTAGGGAAGCAAACACCCCAATTGCTTCACTCATTTCTCTTACTAGATTCTTCACTGATGATGTCTCAGAGCTTTCTAAAACCTGATGCGTGATCTCTCCCATAGGGCTTGCATTCCTATTTGCTAAGCAGTCAATAAATGCCTCACTATTTTTTTTTTACTTGTTATACAATAGTGCATTCAATTCATACTTGTTTGCTTTGATTGCTCAAAGCCTACAGTATGCTCTTTCCACTTTAACATAGACTGCATACTTCTGCTATTCTGATTTCTTACCAGCTGTTGCAGTTATTGGCATAGCTTTAAATTTCACAGAAACATCTGCAAATATTCCCCCACTTCTGGTCACATTAATGATTGGTCCAACATAATTTTCAGCAACTCGCACAGTTGAAGCTGAAAGCTGAAGTGTTCCAAAAGCATCATCATTGGCATTGATAATTACATGAGCTATTGTCTCACCCACTAGTCCAAGTCGAGGAGAATTTACAACTGAAACGTAAAGAAAACTTAGTGAGAGGGTGCCTGAGATGCTTGCTCTCTATGGCTATAGAGTTCAGAGACATACATGAGTTTAATTGTTAGTCGCCACTAGCTTTCAACAAAATTACCTTTTTTAGAATTGGACAAAGTATAGCTACAAACTGTATCAACATACTTTTGGTGTTTGAATTATATTATGGCAGAAAAATCCCAATTTTTAATAACTTATTATTCTATCCCGCTGTGGAGCATACAAGCCATAATTTTTTGAAGAGGTGAGGTACTGTGAAATTGTTTATTTGTTTATTTGTCCATAAGGCCAGTAGTAAGATCTATACACTTAGAAGAATTTCACTTTTATACTTGCTATGATGAAATATAAATCAGATTTCAACCTCCCAGCAGAATTATATTTGAAGTTTCCCTTACAGCAAGATTAATCTGGGGCAGGGGCAGCAATTAGGCATGCCAAGAAGCTTTGAAGCACAAATCAGGCTGTACTGACTGGAATTTATCTGAATGAGGGATGAAACAAACATTCTCTACACTAACAAAGCAACATGTGGCTGTAATTCTACACCACTTTATTTTTAAAAGACTTTTTTGGCTTTCAATAAGCAAAACTAGCTTAGTTATTTCCTAATACTGAACTTCACAGAAACAACACTATGTTAACAGGTATTAGAGCACAAAACCAATACTGTAACGTATTTGGCCTGAAAAACCTTGGATAAGGCAATAAAAAAGGGATAAAGAAATGCTCGTCCACCCCTGACAAAATACTGCGCTAAAGGAAATATATGCCAACAGCACACAAGGCAGGTAACTCAGAGATTTCTTTATCATTTAACTTGTTGCATTTTATCCTATTAAATATAAATACTAGCCTTCATATTTAAATTGTAGGTTTTACATATGTAAGATACTTACTTGGCCGATCCTGTACTTTCTCGATCAAAACAGTACTGCTTAGCTCCACAAAAACAGATTCTGACCTCTCAGGATCATCATCATCCAATATAGGCAAAGATATTGTGGTCTCACTTTCATTGGCTGCGAAGATCATGTAACCTGTAATGGGTATATAATCTTTTCCCTCTGTTGCTCTAATAACTTCAGGTGGAAGAAAGGGTGAGTGTTCATCATCACCAATAGTTCTGTATGTTATCATTACTGTACCAAGGAGACCACCACGCCTTATTATTGTCAGGGAGATATTTTTTGTCTCTTCCTCAACTTTTATTGGTCTGTTTTGCTCAGAAAAGATGAAGACTCCATATGGATCATCATTAGCTAAAATAGTTAATGTTGCATTAGTATGATTTCCAAGATGACCACTGGAGACATTGATGATCAAAACTGAAAACACCTTATCCAATTCAGGAGTTTCATCAGGAGAAACCTGTACTGTAATATTTGCTCTCGTTTGGCCAACATCAAACGTTACATTCCCATCTGTAGAGATCAGGTCTTTGGTAAGATCACAGACTATGATCCAATGCAGTGTCACTTGAGACAAGGCCCCATGCGTTCTCACAACCTAAGTGAAAAATATAAAGATCTGCATATTTTTGTTTTATGAGAAAAAAACCCAAACATAAAAGTATGAGATGGAATAAAGCCAAGACATTGACATGATGGGTTAAAAATAAATTTGTGTTTTAAAAAAAAAGTGTAATCTTTATCATCTCATCTTTGCTGCATTTGTTGTGTCATCAACACTGTTATTTTAAAATAGTAGTACCTCAAATGTAAACAAGTAAAAGTAATTTTAAACCTGTGGATATTACATCATTTTAGCTTCAAGCCGAATGATACTTATTAGAAAACTCAGTATGAAATGGCAAAACAGATGTGCATGGTAAAGTTATAAACCCTCTAAACTTATGGTAAAAGCATTGCAGAACGCCCAGTCAAAGAGAGACAGAAGAGGACTGCACAGCAGTATGAGACTCAAAGCTTTCTAACCTGCAGCACAATATTGCTATCTCCATCTTCAGGCTCAGTTCCATTTACCGAGAGTGACTCAGTACTGAACTCAAACACACCATGAGCGTCATCAGAAGCCTCAATAGTCACAAAGATGTGGGATGCAATTCCCAAGCTAGCTGTAAAGTGCAAGTTCCAAAAAGGGTTATTTTTTCTAGCATCTTTTCTTACATGAAATAAAACAGCTAAAGAAATATGTTACAAAAAATACACAGGAGAGCATGGCTGCAGTATCTGTGCTATTTTGTCTTTGGTTTTTTGAAATGCATGATAACTATCCACATGGATAAGGAACTGACTTTCAATAATGCAGTCCTGGCAGCCCTTCTATGGAACTATGCAACAAAGAAATATAATAAATACAAATATTTTAAGGGAGAAACAGAAATAAAATTACAGGTTCAATGAATGAAAATGGAGCAGAATTTAGGATGGTGGGGAGTTATATGGTAAACCACAGTGTAAGCAGATAGACCAGATGAATGCAGGTCTCATCCTAACATAAGCTGGAATGAAAAACAAAGGAAAAAACAAGGCCGGTAAATCCTACGACTAAAAAGGTTGTCTTGAGTGAGATAACTTGCTGCTCAGAGACAGAAAGAGCCCGGCACTTAAGAAAACCACTTCTGGAAACACGGAAAAAGGAAATAGCACTTCAAAAAAAACCTAAGAAGCTCCAAAAAGTGGCTAAATCACAGACTTACTCTCAGATTCAAACTGAAATGCTTTGCCTTTACAAATAAAATTGGAAATCAGGCTGTCACAGAGGAATAAATTATTCAATTTGGATAACGTGTTCATATAACATTTTCAGGTCCGTAGGGTTTAATTTGAAGTCCTATATGATAGGGTTTTCCCTCAGATTTTATTTCTGCATCTAGCATTTTTTTAATTTTCTCAGTATTAAATTATCTTTGTTTTCTGTATGTCATGACATAAATAAAATCTTAAAGAGAAGAAATAATAATTAAAACATTTCTTTTAAAAAATCCAACACAGCTTACTTTTCTTTAATAGTAAAAAACATTTCTTTAAAAAATCCAACACAGCTTACTTTTCTTTAATAGTAATTTTGACATGCAGAGAATCAGAGTAACTTAAAGCACGTACAAAAGCATAGAGTCAGGTAATTTTTTAATTACCTTCAACTTAAAAAGTGTCTCTGCTTTTTTGCTCTCCAGAAAATTTTACAATTTTCAAACAAAATTGATTTTGCAAACTGTACTTCTGAAATAACTATATTGTGGTTTACATCCATATAGTTTTGGTGGTATAGAAGCTGTTATTTTTTGTGTTACACTGAACACATTTAAATTAAGCCTAAATTAAACTAGAAAAGAATGTTTTGACAGAACTTTATGATAAATCTAAATGAATCACCTGTAACTACAAGTAACACCATGCCAAGCTGTGTCAGTATAGTAATTTATGAGGGATATTACAGTTAGCAATAAAAAATAGGGTTAATCCAAAATGCTTACCATGTTGATGGACAACTGGAAGGAAGAAATCCATGTTCCCATCACCACTACCACTGCCATCATTTCTAAAGAGCTCAGCAACTTTAAGATGACAGACATACAGATATATACATTTATAAATATAGAGAAAGCAGAAAGTAATTTAAATGTTTCTGGACAATAAAAAAAGAGAGGGAAGCATTTTATGAAGGCATTAGTTTGGGATGTGAAAGCATACAGGATTTCTGATAAAAGCCAGAAAAAGTCTTGTATATGCCACTTCTAATTAAATTTATGACACTGGAAATAGCAATGGGAGGTCAGAAGGAAAGAAAACCAATACACCTCTGTTTTCTCTCTTCTTTCTTTCCCTCTTTATGTGCCCTCTTTGTATTTCCCCTTTCTCACTCCTAAATGAGGTCTGTCAGGGAGAAATTGGAAATGTGAATTAAAAAAAAAGACGGGGCTAAAACCCCTCAAACTCTCCTATTCTAATATTTTCTCACAAAGCGAGAACATGTGTCAGGACGTTGGAAAAATCTGCAGAAAGCTTAACTAATGGAGACTTTACCCTAAGTTTTGTGCTTGCAATAGTGTTGGAAAAGCCAAAAAGAGGGTTTGTGTTAAGAGGATAACTGCCTAGTGAATTACTAGAGTTAGCTGTAAGTTTTCTGACAAAAAAAAAAATTAAAGATAAAAGTTTGATTCTTTTTAACAAAACAATTATTTGACCAAGAAGTCCACATGCATGAAAGGTCTGAAGCTTTTATCGGAAGTATCACTAAGGCCACACTGTACCACAGAGACAGATGTAATCGCAGCAGAGAGCTGGATTCATTCAAGGTAGTATGATATAACTTCCCAGAAGGCACCACACTTGCATTTCTGGATTGCTTAAAAAAAGTCAATTTATCACTGCCAATGTTTCTAATTACTTTTTTCCCCTCCAGCTTTACAATCTCCCTTAAAAATTTTCTCCAATGGAAAAAAAAAAAAAAAAATAAATCTGTGAAGGATGTTTTTTGTGGCAGGGGCACTGATGCTTGCCATCCCTTGTGAGACTAGCATCTCACAACAAGATTTCCTTTGAGTGTTTTTCTTGTTCTTCCACAGAGCTACCAGCTACCTCTCCAGCTCAGCTAAACTCCCTAGGCCTCTCAACACGCACAGTCTCCTACTGATATAATCCAGTTGAATCCGTTATAAGCCAGTGTATCACAATTCCTCTGATTTCACTCAAGTGGCAGATAAAAAACCCACCTTGTTTTTTTAGCCTTAAATATTTTATAAATATTGACAAAGTTAAAAAAATTTGTATTTATATATATTTTTATATTATTTTAATTCTCATTACCAACCATGAAATTATACAATGTGAAAAGCAGTAATTGCCTTTAAATGACCTAATACATGGTAATAATACACTTTCTTTGGGATCTGGTGGTTTCCAGCAATGATTAACAAAATATCCGAAGAACAGTTAAGAAAAAATACAGCTGTCTGGGGGATGTAGGGGTGTTCTTTTGTCTTTAGAAATAACATGGAAATGGTACACCTAAGAAAGGTAAGATTTTAATGCGTGAGTAGAGATCATAAAAATACAACCAACGGATTGACATATGTGCCTCACCTCCTCCCTCTGGGTTCAACAGCTCCACTTGAAAAGTTTTTTCTAATTCAGGAATAGAATTATCAGTGATGTTAACAGTAATGTACTTGTATCTTTCTCCTGGCTGAAATTCCAGTGTGCCCACAACAGCCTGCAATATGAAAGTTCTTCACATTTTTGTTCAAGTTTAATGTTTTCATCCATATGAAAAAAGAAATAGAACCTTGATTTTGTTTGCCTTTGTCAAAACATCTACTTCCCTTCATTTAAGCTTTTAGAAAATCTGCTCAATCTTTGTTATGAGAAAAAGACATCTAAATTCACAAAATTATGAGCATCTGCATTCATCTACATTATTCCGCACAAATATCAGTTAGACAAGCAAACACAGATATGCACAGGTTTTGTTGAACATATATAAATCCCAGTATGTACAAACATAATCTTAACCTGTACATGTACCTGACTGCTCATATAAAGTTTGATGCATTCAGCAACAATAGCAAATATCCCATCTTGCTACATAGACAATTCTCTTAAGAAAAAAAAATCAAATCTTTTCCTAGGAAATAAAACATCCAGCACACACAGGAGGTACAAGTCACATAATGATATATATTTTAAAGTGAATATTACACATTCATTTATCAAATCACCATATAAAACAAAGTGTTTCTGTGAAAATAATCATAGCTGGGCTAAAATACGCAAACTGAAGGCTATCTCCAGGACAAATAACGTGAATTAAATTCCAAAATAGTTACATACCTTGGCAATGGCCATACCTGATAATCTTTAGGACTGAAAGCTGTAAGTGGCACTGTTCTGTATTCCACCACAACTGTTCCAAGAAGGCCTTGCGCACGAACTACCAGTAGTCTGATGTGTCCAACTTCTTCTTTAACTGTAATCTGGGGCACAGCAGAGGCTGGCAGAATCATTTCATCACCTGGCTGAGGAGGTGGTCCCACAGAGAACTGTAGTAGACCTGGCAGACAAGAAGTACTATTTACATGACTTCTCTCACCAAATTTAAATTATGATAATAAATTGAAACCAAATTATTTATAAAACTTATATTTTGTGATGTTTCTGAAATTAAAAATCAATTATTGATAAGCCCTTAGGCCTCAATCATGCTATTTCCAGGGACGTCCTGTGTACCTTCCCTTCTCTCTCACTGATATGCGTATCAGTCTTGATAAAACCACAGCACAATAATGAATTTAGGTCTTCCCAGGAGAGCCTCAATATGTCTTATTGGTATAATAAGCATGCAGAAACGTTTCTCTCCGTCAGGAATTCTCATCTGAGAAAAACTTGCACAGGATCAACTACATGCAACCTTTATTTGCTGTCAGAAGGGAATCATTGCCTGTTTGGTCAGGGAAGCTTTGATGCCTTTTTGTAAAATTCTCAAGAATAAGTAACTCAGCTTTCCCTCTTGTACACAAATTATGAATTAATCTTGTTAGATAATGTGGAGCATTTGGCATTGCTTCCTCAACTATCAAGGCTAAGCAAAGTTTTTATCTGTTGAGCTAGAACTATAAAATTATCTGCAACAAGACTGTATCATCTCCATCATCATTACCATATGGGTGGTCACTGGCTTTGATGCTGATATCAGTAGTTTCCTTTTCTGAATCTATACTTGCTCCACTGGTAGGAGTTGAACCTAGTTTTCCATCTCCAGACACTGCAGAGACTAATGTCACACGGAAATATTCATTTAGCTCCGGAATGTCATCATCAATAACATGCAAATTTAAGACCTAGAGAAGGACCAAATCATGGAGAAATCAAATCGTGCAACATACGTCACTTAGGAGTTTCATGACCCTGCCTAACTCATCAAATTCTTTGATTAGTCAGTAAGCTGTATCTGCTGTGTAGTTCTGAAAGTAATGTGGACAACATTTGTGCTTTCCACATAATTTAACCTAACTTCTAGGATAATATTTTGTGTTTAGAATATGTATTCCAAAAAGAACGTTACCAAGCTCTCAGAAATGGAAGGCATATTTTCTTAAGTGCTTCAAACTACATAAACACATAACCAAGCAAGCAATTATTTATTATCATATCTTAAAATAAGCATAGTTTAAATTGTGTATATTGAAAGTGAAATATCTGATAGATTTCAAAATCTTGAAGAAATTGTGCTTCTGAAGAGAAATTACAGTGATTAATCCTATTTAGAGAGCAAGTAAAGCAGGCTTTTTACGCCTGACACTTGAGATTGCAGATCATACTATAATTAACATAACCTGCTCTGCACAGGCTAACACATTCACCTCAGACAATTCCAGCTTTCTATATATTGTGGTATGATTAGACAAACATATAAAAGAAAAGGTTTAAATAGCTGACCGTATTTAGAGGCATGGGAATGAGTAGCTTACAAACATCATGGAAAGTCTCTTAGGGTATCTCACCTGACGAGCAACAGCTCCCAATCTGTTTCTTAGGGCCATGCCCATTAACTCCTCAGTATGTAGACAATAAATTGGACCACACAGCAGTGGAGCAAGAGGGTATACCAGCCCTTCTCTGCCATCAGACAGAATAAGGCAGGCCTCGTCCGTGCTGCCAAACTAGAAAGGCTTTGGAAATTTTTGCTTTATATGACTGTATGCAATGCAGTAGTATGATTCAATGGAGAATTAAAGCTGAATGAACAGTGACATGAACAAACTATTTTCAGACATCGCAAGCTTTTGCCAAGCTCTAATCACTTATATTGTTTGAGTGGGACCAGATCCACAGTTCTAGTGGAGTCACTGGGATCCTTTCAAATTGTGTCAGTGAGTTTCAGTCAGTCCATACTAACTTCAGCAGAGTGATACAAGTGAAACCGAGGACAGCATTTTCTACTAAGAATTCACCCTTTCTATTCTACGACCACTAATAGAAAACACAAATGAACTTTTTACAGTATTGTGGTCCCACACCTCTTCTTCAATTACATGTGAAATTCCTGTTCCGCAGGTCAGGATTGAATTCATAGAAACAGATTAAGCAAAAGGGACAGAATGTGGCCAAGAGCAGTTGCAAGACACTTGGTTTCAGCAGTGAACTTTACTGCTATTTAATTGATGTGGAAATAAGTATGAGTTACAAAACTCAGATCAAAACCTGATCATTTTCTTGATCAATTTCAAAAGTAGCTGGATGCATTATTTCAGCCCAGGACTATCTATACTTCAAGTATACGTATACATAAATCTAGTTAATATTTTCTATATATACATATATGTAAACACATCTAATATATTATGTGCATTCAAACATACATGCACACATGGTGACCCCAAAACTGAGATACACACAGATCTATAAGCATCTATCATATCACTTGTTAGTTGTCAGGGATGCAAAAAACCCTGCAAAACATAACAAAAGCCATGTGAAGGAAACAGTTTCTAGTATGAAAAGCAGTCAAGCACCCACAGAAGGTATTTTCCAGCAGGTCTGCAAAGGACAGGATGAATAGTTAACAGGAAGGTAGGGTTTACCTCTGATCTCTGCCAAGGAAGGAATGTGATAGTGCCAGTGCTGTTAGAAAAATCGGTAACAGAGTAATTAATGCCAGTGGAATCAACCTGCGAGATAATGTAATTTATATACACATAGTCTAGGGCTCCCCTTGTACGCTCCACGACACAGGATATAGTGGAACCCTCATCGGCAGTCTGGAAGAAAGCAAGAAATTGAAATGTTTGTTATTGTCAAAGTAAATCAAGGCAATAAATGCAAAACATGGAATTCTCTAACGCTAGTCAAATGTTCAGGTAAAAAATTGCTGCCATGTTACTTTCAGCACTTTTGGAAGCTGAAACTGAACTTGATGGTGGTCAGAACAATCTTAGTGAAATTTGCAACAGCTTCTAGTGTCTCCCTGAGGACTATAAAGGTAAGAGAGTAACTGTACCCTGTTGTTTGTTTTGGACACAATCTCTTCCCCCAAACTAAATGCCAAAGACAGAATCAATATGCTTGAAATGTACATGTCAAAAGCAACTGAAACTATTGCTTTATATTAATGTCAATTATTTTTTCATTAGCAATAATTTAAAGATTTGGATTCGCCCTTTCCCCAACTAGAAACACTATGAAAAAAAAATAGATACGTTAAAATTAAACTATGCTATCATCATTCATGGAAAAACTTTGAAAAATTTTCTATGCTACAGTCCTCTTTACAATTCTGTCTTCACAGAGACCATGACTTCAGCAGCAACAATTTCATATATTTGGAACAAAGTAGGGTATTGATACTGACCATATGTTTTAGAAAATTATGATCATAGAACTAAAATAGAAAATAATTTTGTCTGAAAATTGCCAGAAAGACTAAAGCTATCTTAAGCATTAGATAAATTTCAGAGCTGCTGTATAACACAGTGCAGATACTGCATGTGCCTTCAGCTGCCTAGTAGACAGATATGCACATAAAGCAATTAAACTACTGATAAAACAATGCTGTGTATCTGCATCATCACTGAGAGCTCTAATACTTCCCTGGCAAAATGGACGTAAGACAAGTGCAAAACAATTAACATGACATAAATTTTTAATTTTGCTTCATGGTTGGTTGATGATCTGTGGCATCACAGTATTATCAGTGGCATTTGAAACTGAAGGAATCTATTATCATAGCATATGGTAGGCATAGCATATGGAAAGCAAAGTGAACCGAATTGAAAACCAGTATCACTCAGGAAAGATGGTTACTTTCAAACACATCATAAGCATTCTGTTAGGAAGAATGTAATTAAAAGGTCATGAGAGTTCCCAAATTGGAAAGTATTCTGTAATTTGTTTTCCAAAATAATCCACTACCAATAGAACGAGGTATCATGTCTTTCTCCCTCATAATTGATTAATGAAGTAAAAATGAATTATGTTTATTTCAATCCTCCCCAAACAAGGAGCAAGTTTATATATTGCATATATAGTGGCTACCACCGAAGAACAATTTAATGTTTAAAAAAAACCCAACGCACAGCTAATATCAACCAAATTCACACCAAACATATGCAATTTATACCTTATGATAGCAAATGATTGTGGAAAAATACATCACACCTTGTCATTGCATGACCTTTAGTAAAATTCTTTCAAACACATCATGTGACACAGAAAAATAAAATAAAAATCTATGTAATAATCCATTCTCCAAACAAGAAAATTAAATCTTATATTTTGATTGATAACCCAGTCTCAGATGTGACAAAAGTAAAGGAAAAAAATGTTCTTCTAGAAAAACTTAAGCCTTAGGTTTTAGTTTATGTAATAAAATCAATTTTCTTAACAAAAATAATTTTGGGGTTTTTTTAAAAATTATATTGCAAATGCCAGTGAGACTGAGGCTGTATTAACAGAACTTACACATTTCCAAATTCTAGAAAAACTTTGCTTAACTACAAAAACTAACAATGTGAAATCAAGGCCCTGTGCAGGTCAATTTTTTGACCATTAATTTTTCTGTGCCATTAATTTTTCTGTGCTCAAAACTTCACCTATAATTTTCCTTATGAACACCTTACCTCAGGAATACATGCTCCAGTGAAGCCAAATAAACCATTAGCATTATCACTTTTCTGTATTCTTAATCTTGCTGTGGTATTTTCTTGTGAAATTCGAGCTCCACCACGCACAGAAATGAGCTTTAGGATGAATAACTCCTCTCCTTCTTCCTCTTTGTCATCCTTTGCAGACACAATGAACGATTTATTGGTCTCTCCTTGCCGATACTCCAAATACCCAGAGACAGGGTGGACATCACTCTTCGCAGGAGTTGCGTGGAGCTCATAGATCTCTGCTCGTGTCAATTTACGCTCATAAAGCCTTACATCCTGCATTAGCCCTGTGTACCTACCACTGCCATTGATTCCTGCTCCAATTCTCACTATTCCTGGACCTGAGAAGGAAATTATAATTTTCCTCATGTTATTGTATTTCTTCAAAGTAATAAACCTGCAGCTGAATAGCTGTAATTGTTAAAAAACAATGGTAAATTCTTTACTACCCTTGGATTAGGAATCATATTGATCTTCAAATGCAAAATCAGGAGGTTCCTTGAGCCTCATCTCTGGGTTACAGGTAGATCATCACAGGTCAAACAATTCCTCCTAGACTGTTCAGGTTTTTCATCCTACTAGTTCTACTAGCACATTGTCACCATCCCTTATTTTAATGAGGCTTGGAAACTTCTTTCTTTCCATTAGAGGTTTGCAGAGCACAGCTGCAACCCCTCTCAGCTTTTGTTTTGCTAAACAGACCCCATTTTGTCTCTCTCTGCTAGACAGTGGATCCATTCTGATGATACTCATCACTGCATTAGCCCTTCTGGACATGCTTTTCCCCTAATGCACTGGAAGTACGGACTTCAGAAATGTACACCAAATTCCAAATACTTTTTACAACAGCATTAATATTTCTCTTTCTCCAAACAAATATCCCACTCAGCAAATCATAGGATCACAGCTGCCTTTTTCACAAATATACTAAGCTGGTAGCTCATACTCATTCCTATTGTGCTAAAACACATAGATATCTCTTCTTTCCAGCTGTCTTCTCTTTTTGGAAGAAACTACGCTCTTGAATGTACTGGCATACATATGACACTGTCAGTTCTAGAGATGAGCAACCACAGCAACTGATAATGGTCCCAGGGCACAAGGCGGAGGATGGTGAGAAAAAACGGGCTACTATGCTCACCACTGTGTAGTATCCAACATTAAATGGAGAAAGATGAAATCTTTACCTTATACTTGTAGTATCTCCAGACAGAGCATATGCCATCTCCACTAATACAGAAAATTTACAACGACTCAGACATATCATTCTATCAACAAAAGCATTATTGCATTTCACGCATCTTTGTTCTAGAAACTGAGGGGAAAAAAAGTCCTTTCTCAGCTACAGTACTGCAAGTCTGATGGAAATTATGAATTGCAGAGGCACCACTTTGTTACAGAGGACAAATTTACTTCTCAGACTTCAACCACTGGAAATTTACAGGCAGAAATAACATACTACACTATACAATTAATGAAGTCTCCTCTCTATTCTCACTCTATGTTTGTGTACATATATGCATGTAGATGCATATGCATTTAACATCACTGTTATGTTTTTTAATTCTCCTTCTTTAACTACAGAAAAGGAGACTGTATTTGAGAACTCGATAATCATTCACTGCCTACCCCCACCAAGGAAAACGTGAAACTGAAGGTGAGAGGAAGAAAGGAAAAGGATGGAGATGATCTCCAAGAAAAAAAAATCACATGGAAGAGGGGGAAACTGCAAAAGAAGGAGTAAATATAAATGTATTTTGACCACATAATATCTAACTTTATAAAGGAATTGTTCTGATACTTCCCTGGTCACTGCTATGCTAGTTCAGAGAGAATGTCCATAATGGTTACCTATGACTAAAATCACATCTGGGACTATCCAGTTGGATAAACTGAAGTACACATGCTAATGTTCCTTGGAACACTATTAAACTTGTAGGCATAATTTTCATATACCATGTAAATACACACTTAAGTATATCTACACCCTGAAAAATTCTATTGCTTACAAGATATTGGCTTAGTTGTAATATAATACACATCTAGAAACAAAATCATTATTGCATTTTGTTTCAGACACTGAGAGGAAAAATGTCCTTTCTCAGCTACAGTGCTGTAAATCGTATAGAAATTATTAATTGCAAACATATATAACTGTATGTATACATGATAAGCATACATATATAAATATAATTATTAATGTATTTTCAAATTGTTGCAATCCAAGCTCTGTTACAGTTCTGAATTTTTTTGAACTCTCCCAGCTCTAATTTCCATACGCTTTTTGAAAATCCTCAGAATTTTCTATCCATTCTTTTCAATTAGCTAATCAGATATAATAATTTCAGTATCTTGCATATACCTGTCAAGGAACTAGACTCTTCTATATATTGCAGAACTTTACATATGGAGAAAAATAATGCAGGGTATTGGCTCACCATCAGCAATTGCTTCTCCTTTAAGGCTCTTCATTCCTCCCAGAACTGGAATTCCATCCATGTAAAATTCAATTATACTTTCATCCAGAGTAATCAGAAGGTGAAGCCAAGTATTTTCATCCAGATATTTCAGGACTGCTGCTTTAGCCACATATGTCATATTGGATCCTAATGCTGTATAATGAAGCACTACAGAAACATGAGAATCATTTGTTTGGATTTTCACACCATAATATAAGGTCCCATTATCATCATCCTTTTCAACTATATAACCATCAGTACTGATGTTAGGAATTAACCACGCTGAAAATGTAAAATTGGTTACTGCAGTATTTCCATTGTATGGGTATTCCGGACCAATAATGCCAAATGCATCCTCTTTTCCACTGAAATACAAAGCATCTGTTCCACTGTGATGGCGCCTCATGTGAGGCTGGGATTGTACTGAACTTGGAAATGATCCCAGCAACAAGAAGTCTACCATTGATGGTAGTCCAGCTTGGAATGTACTAGACAGTATTTCCCAGCCTAAGCGGACAACACCAAAGGTGCCTTGTTGTCTCCAGATGGTGAAGTCTGTAATACAGGAAAGATCATCTTCAGAAAGAACATCTTCCACTATCTCTCTGTCCTGGCTCTCTGGATCTATAACAAAGACTCCAAAAGGGTCATCATTGAATGGGATCATCACGGTTACAGCAAGGCTTGTTTCAGATAACTGACCGCCAGGACCAGGAGACCCACCTATATAATGGAAATTAGAGCAAAAGTTAATGGTCAGTTTCAGACAACACAGTCCAAAAAAGTCACTAAGTACTTAAAGTTTTTTTAATAAAATGTTTAAAAAGGGTTGAATCTTCTTTAGAGAGCCTCTGAACTCTTAGAAAATGCTCTAATTTAAAAATAACATAATTTAACTGCATTGTTTTTAAAACACTATAGTGACACAATTTTCATAGAAAGCAAAGCAGTATGTTACTTTCCAATTGCAAAACATACAGTTGTCTTTCAGCTAAAACAAGATTAACTCCAATTTTTCTAAATTAGTCAATGAGATAGGTTACCTTTGATTTATTTGATAAACACGGGGCCAAATTCAGTTCTCACATTACTCCAAGATTTACACGAATATGGAATGGCAAAATTTGGCCCATTGCCTCTGAAACAGAAGCAGGCATACCTTGCAAAATCAGTAACCAGTTGTGTATTAAAACTGCTGCCAAGTCCTGCCTTTAGTCATCTATTTCTGCACAGTAAGAATTCATGATACGAAGATCATGATATGAACGTAGAGCCTCCATGTTCAAAGAGTGCAGTGATCTACCTATGGTAAATAGGAAATTTTCTGTACGTGCATATGGATTTCACTTACAGGAAAGGTCAACACATTTTCAGTTGCGTCTGGGCACAGAAGACCATAAATAGTACTGAGGTGGAATGAGTCCAGGAGATTTGGAACTCTACTCAGTAGCAGACCTGTAGCAGTTGTGATTTAAGTCCTATGAAGTGGTAACTATAAGTATTTTACCTCCTCTAGAAAAAAGCAAACAAACCAACAAACCTCCATTACAGTAGACATGCATAGCCTTTAATAGCTCTATTTTGTCTTCAACTACATGAAGACCTGTATCTCTGAAATTACCAAGAGGCATCCTTTTTAAAGGTCAAATCACCAAAATGTGTATAACTAATTCAGGAACTGAATAACTGCATTCGTATACCTAAATAAAACTTAAATGAAAAATAAAACCTAAAACCTTACCAGAAAAGTATAGGGTATCAAGACATGATTCAAGGCAAAGCTCTTTCCAGGGTTGGTTTCTTTTTGATTGATTAAACATAATTCTTTTCTACCAGATATGAAGGGAATGGTGATATGGAAGACAATACCTGAAGCATTCACCAACTTTAGAATGTAAAATTCATTGAATTCAGGAATTCCATCCGAAATAGCATGGAGTGTTATTGGCTTTGATCCTTCACCATCCATGAAGAACACAGTCCCGTAAGTTTCATAGAACTCTTCTCCTGGCCTCAGTGCAGAGTCATTATCAAACAGCTGCCAGGTCAACGAGACATTGCCAAAGTGTCCTCTATGTCTCAAAATCCTGTTCAGTGATACAGAAAGAGTGAACGTCCTGGCAGGTATGTATCAGCATTCATTAGCAAGGGAAAACACAATTACACTAATCTTCCTTACTGTGAAAAATAATATACAATGTTCTAAATAACCATGAACAAGAAATACAACCATGAACGATACTACAATCCTCTTTGAAGGCCTGCAATTTCACAGTACAATTCTACTCCCAGGTATACCACATGTACCTTAGAAAAAAAGTAACCAACGCAGGTCCGTGCAAAGTAGTACTGTTAAGCTAAACATCAGCTTGTCTTCCACTTCTATGATGTAAATAATAGATACAAATTTATAATATAGTTCAGCAAGTTAACATTGAAAATTTATATACCTGGCCACCCTTAGACAGGAAAGGGAATCATCTACATTTAACCACAAACATTTCTCCCTTTAACCATCAAGCCCCCTTAAAATTTTTTTTACATTGGTATTAGATTTGGGTTATGCTCTATGTCCTTCAGAAATCCGTGGTTATTCGAGATTAAGAATGTAGTAAACGAAAACAAGATTTTATTTTTTGTATAGCTATCTGGTAACATAATTTCACCAATTTCCAAAAGGCACTATAAATAAAAACTGAAGTATATAATGCCTTTATTAACAAAGTGTGCTTTACATACCAAAAGTGTGCTTCTGTTTGCACGGCAAAATAAAATGCCGTACAAAGAGATTATATCAGCCTGAAAAATTAGTTCAGCAAAACTAGTCTAGGCACAGCAACAGTTACATTCCAAAGGTTTTTCTTTTTTTGCCATCAACCAGGGCGCTCCACCCCAGCTGTGTAGCACTGTTGCAGTAACTACAATTACTCCCTTTAAAGCTCAGTGCTGCCATAGCTGTTCTCAGTGCTTAGGTTATATGCTACTCTGACCCTTTTGTTATGTACTACATAATAGCCAAAGCAGTGAGGGTATGGAAGAGACAGCTCCCTAGTAAACATATTTAATCAATGAGGATTGAGCAAGGTCCTCAATACTGGTGATCTTGGCATCATGTGCTTCCATAAAGCACGTGTATATGAACATGTTTAGTTCTAATCATCATTCCTCACACCATCAAATAAGAAAAAATTATCCTGCAAATAAGATTATAAAGGACAAAAAATGCCCCAAAGAGCAGCATAACAAAACCAAACACACAATATATTTAATATCCTCTTTTCTCAAGAATTTTCATTCTTTAGATGTGTAACACAAGCATAAAGACCTAATTCACAGCCATAGGCAACTGCTCCAAGGCCTTAAAATAAACAAACAAAAAAATCAAATAAAAAGATATAGAAGATAACTAAACAAATGTGAAAAGAGCCTCTTCTCTAACTGTTCACATTATCACGTTTATTGTGACCTAACTTCTCTTTATATCCTGTCTAGAGGTTTCTTAATGAAAAATCAGTATTTTTGTCAAATTATAATCCCATCCTGACTTTATGGAACATAAAGCAAGACACCAACGAAATTCATTTCTTAACCCTTCCCATTCTTGAATACATTCCAGTGGCTGGAAGGAAAATACTTTCAGAGGTCAGACTAGGGAAGACTATTTTCAGTTTAGAAGACAGTCACATCTGGACTTTGAGTATAGACTTCCATCTGCACTTAACAGATAGAAGAAAACCAAACCATCAGAAAGAATACAGTAATATAGGTTGTTTGTAGGGGAAGGCTTCAAAGTAGGGTGCAAAAAGAAATTAACAACCACATAGTCATATTTAGCTGTATTTTGAGAAGATTTTTTGCTTCTCTGTTAGTCCAGAATCATCAAGATTCTTCTGTATCTAAAGTCTACTGAGAATATAAGAAAACAACAATGCTGTAGTCTTATTTATTTACATTTTAACATGAATTTCAGTATATATTTTAATATACACAATCTACCTGATAATGTAACAGCGGATGTCTTCAATATGTTTACAAATCATTTAATCCAAAATTTAGTAAAGCTATTTTCCTTTAATACATTTCTATCAATGCAAACTTGTATGGGATTAGATCAAAGCACTATCCATAAAGTACCACATACATCAGTTCCAAAAAAGTGCAAAAGTATTAAAGTTACTTACAAAAAATTGTTAATTTTGCCTTCTTCCACTGGCTTCTCTAAAGTGTCCAAGGAGAAAATTCCATTAGGATCATCATTTGCTTCAATAATAACTGTAGCCACTCCAGCCTTAAAGATAACAGTATCCCCTAAAAAGAGGGTGATGAATTCTATCAAAACTGGAATCAGAAATGGATGTAACTCTAAAACCAAAGGTGTTTCCTTCTCACACCAACTGGTTTTATGCAAACAAAGAAATGAACAATGATAAAATAATCAGTGAAAACCAATATTTGAGATATTCAGTAACAGGCAAATTAGAGTAAAAATACTTAAGTAGCATCTTAAGTAGATCTGCAAGAAAAAATACATGTGACATGACCAGAGATGTGATTCTGAGTAGAAAGGATTGTATGAGAGGTATTATTTCATGTTTGATCAATTGGTCAAGTCAAAAGAAAAAGGTTGGTATTCAGAGATCCCAGCTCTCCTTTAGACCTAGAACAGCAATATTGCTCTTAAACTAAATACAAGCTAAGAACAATGTCTAAGAGTTTATTCATACCCATATCACAGCCTATCTGAAAGGAAAGAAATATAAGATAAGATGTGAAGTAGAGAGGAAGCTAGTAGGATTTCTGTGTATATACTAGCAGTGTAGGGACATTCTAACACCCTTCGTATGTCCACAGATGTACACTATGTTTGCACGCCCATCCCATTTTTCACCCTATTTAAGAGAGTTAGACTAGCTTTTATTCCAAAGTAAACAATGTGTTTACTGCTTTAATTTCATATACCTCTATCTGTATTTTCTCTGAGGTACAACATTCCCACACAATTTTCAAAAGAGATGTAACAATCAAGGTAAATAAATGTAACAGATCATAGAAAGAAAATAAATTTTTTTGCTTTCAGGAATGCGTATAGAAATATTCTATATTCTTAGTGGTTCTAGAGATGCTGCATGATGATATGACACTCCTTTTAGAGGCAAAGGGAGCCTGCAGCTACCCATTCTTGTAGGACCAGTGTGCCGGGAGGAAAGCCATCATATGTTCCCAATAAAGTGGTAAGAGAAAATACCAGTAGATCCTGAAGAAAGTTAGTAAAGTAGAAAGAGATCACGGAAGAGAAAATTTAAGAAGCGAGAAGAATGGCTTTGTCTGATCCTTTCTGTAAGGTTGATGTTCTGTAAGAGACCTGGGTACCAGAGTGAATGTCAGCTGACCTCAGGAAACACATAAGCTACCTTATACTCAAATAATTGCTAAAAATTCCCCTATAATTCTCCGGCTGCCTGCTACCAATGTCTAAGGCAGATGCAGTTCAAGATCAATGAAGCCTTGTGAGCAATTCATAGACCAGCCACAGGGTGTCGGTTTTTGTGTGACCTGAAGCACTCTTAGTCTCACTGACTGAATCAGATCATTATAGACCATAATGAGGGCTAAGACACTTAGTATGCATGTCTAAATGAAGACACCTAATTTTATTTTTCCTCATCTTGAATTGAATCCCTGCTAGGTATTCTACTTTGTGAACCTACCACACAATCTAATGTGAAGGTATAGTCTGATGGTCAATTGTGATCATTTTCCTTTGCTTTATTAAATCACAGTCACTCAGTCATTGTTTGATGGCTTATTCAATTCAGTTTTGGTTTGCATTCCAGTGCATTCACAGCCCGTTACTACCTCTCAGCTACACAATAATAACAACTGAAATAATTAAAATTTACTAACACAATTGTAGATGACTCTCCCACTACACCTTGAGTTTTGGCAGGGCTAGGGATGGGGAGGGTCTTTAATTAAGCAGGTAGAGCCCAGGAAAATTTACCTATTTCTTACATTTAATTTATGTTTTCTTATCAATATTACCCATCAGTGATGGTTTATTCCAGAAGACGTCTATTTCAAAAATAGGAATGTGCTGAATAATTTTGTATCTTTTCCTGCTATATGATAACTTAAAAAAAAAAAAAAGAAGTTATTTCTGAGATAATAAACCCATTCTTTACTGGTGGTACACTGAGTAATGTCTAACACATTCTTCTGTAGATAAAACTTCGTAAAACTATGATGTCAGACTGAAAATAATGTATGCATACATTGCACCGCTACAAAAATAAGAGAGACTAATTTACATGGTTTTCCTCTAAAATAAGGCAGTTCTGTTTGTTTTTACAAAAATCAGGCAGTTGTGTAGTATACAGTAGAGCATGACAAAAAATCTAAAAGAATCCCTCTTTCACTAAGACTGTTGCAGTACTAACATTCTTTAGCCTTGTGCTTCTGTAGTCAAGTCAAAACCCTATCTAATTTGAAGCATTTACATTTGAAAAGAGACTTTCACTCCAGTTGTTTTTGCAGGAAAGGTTTCAGCTGTATCATTTCATTTTTGTTTCCAATTAAACAATTCAAGATGAAAATCCAAACACACTGTGTACAGTAATTGTATAGAAATGTTTAAGCAAATCTTATTCATATAATACTTTGCATTTATATATTGCTTTAGGATAAGACCAAGCTGGTAAAAAATTGCAGGGGGGAAAAAAAAAAAAAAGGAGAGTTATAAACACATATCAAATCATTACTTTTACCTGTAGAATTCAAAAGGAAGATATAAAAAGTTTCATCAGTTTCAGGGGTATCATCATCATTAATACACACAGATAAGTTCTGCTCTCTTTCTCCAACATCGAACAAAATGACACTGCTCTTTCCACTGGGAACAAAGTCTCCCTCTTCAGCTGTTGCATCTCCATTAACAGTAATATACTGGACAGCAACAGCAACATCAGCAGATCCATTCCTTAGGACTGTAAAGCTTGCAACGCTTCCTTCTTTAACGCTCACTGTCAGAGGTTCTGAAAATACACAAGCAACAGATCTACCTGAGTTCAAGCCTGAGCTCCTTGTGTGTGGCCTATTTTCTTAATCCTCCCCAAGAGGATCCTTCCCCTCAGTGAAACAGAAGGCATATGTGGTAAAGGCATGGAAATTCTTGCAGGTACAAGACATTATGGTTGTACTTAGCCACCTAACTAATCCCAGCATCAACAAAGAGAATAATGAAATAAAATAAGGGAAGGTTCTGAAGGAAACAAACACAAATTCAACACAACAAAAACATGAACGTTTTATACTAGCTCCATTGGGATTAGGATTTCTCAATAATCTGGTTGGTCTGTCAATAAAATCTGTTTGGGGTAGCATATGTATTCCACATTTAAGAACAGTAATATCTAACCTGCAAAATAAATGGGATCATCATTCCCTGTAATTTGTAAAGTTGCACTGGTTATATTGCCCAGCCTGGCTCCGCCAGTAGCATTGAATAAGCTGATGATGAATACTTCCATCTCTTCAGGTACCTGACAGAGAAAGTATTATGAAATTAATTTCTTGCATACAAAACAATGAAGAGATTAAAATGAACAGCTGAAAGGGGTTAACAAACCAGAGATTTCTGAGTGTTGTTTTTTATTTACTGATCCTGAAGTGTGTCAAGAGGGATGACAAATGACAGTTCATACAGTTACACAGAAATCATCATCAGCCTAAAATCCTTGTATATAAGTCCCCTCATCTTTACTGTTGTACAGATGACCCAAAAGTTATCTTGCAGTTTCCTTCTTCTGATATATGTAATTTATTTTTACAGCTTTATTTACTTATTAATTATTCTCATTCTTTCTTACATTACTTCAAATATATCAGCATTAAAAATAAAAATCAGGATTCCTGCTATCAAAACAAGGGTTTTATTCAAATGAACTTTTCTATAATTTAACCACATTCAACTACTCTCATCTTCTAAATTTTTTTTGTTTGTAGGTATGCACAGCTTCTCAAATTCTTTTATGATTTGCGGAAGTAATCTCAGTTTTACCCACGTATTTTGATTTTTCCTACAAATACTTATCAGGCTGTTAAAAAACAGACATTCCTTCTTTCTCCTTAAGTTGTAATGTTTTAGCATTTACTCTTTGTCCCATATACTCACACAAAAACACCGTAAAAATGTTTACCTCATCTGGCAGTGAGTAAATGGTGATATTTTTTGAAAACTCCAGATTATCAAAGAAAATAGTCCCTTGTTCTGGATAGATGTCATTGGTATATGTTGGGTCAACAACCCAAGACACACTAACATTGCCATAGTTTCCTTGGTTTCTTACAACTCTGTAAGCAGCTAAAAAATGCAAACATATACAGTCAGTATGCATCTTCAGAACAACACAAACCAAAAAGAAAAAGGTCAGCAAAGCTGAAACAAAGAAAAAGGAAATAATAAGCAAATCCATTGCTTGCAAAATTAATAATATGTGAGAGCACTACATGAAAGGACACACAAAGATAGACCACTAAAGCAGTTCAAACTTGCTCAAATTTGTTACTTTTTGCCTGTAACTACTTGATAATTGAATAGAGACAGATAAATTGAAGTCACCCATATGAAGATTTAGCTCTATTCTTCTCTCACATGGCACCCTATTCTTCATGCTCCACAAACAGAGCTACTACCTCAAGGTTGCACTTTGCACACACATCAATACTCCGTCCCTCCTGTCTGGCATATTCTCTAGCCATTTTTTTACTGGATTGATCCCTCTGGCTTTCCAGGCCCATCCTTCTCCACTTCAGTCTCCACTGCTCATCTTGCGGGCACTGTACCACTCTGGAAACTCCTGAGTGGAGACTTGAGTCAGAAATTGTCCTAGAAAGGTGAAATGGGGAAAAGAAGCCTTGCAGGGGCAGACAGCAGATAAAGCAGTCACTCTAATAAAAAAGAATTACCAGAGTAGATGATTTCTCCTTTACTTTCCTTTATTGTTACTGATAGTTCATCAGGTAGAAACTGAATGACACCATGTGGATCATCATTCTTCAAAATGGTTATATTGACCATTGTGGCATTCCCCAACTTGCCTGGCTTTTCACTGTAGCCACTGAGAACCACAGAATATATCTCGTCCAGCTAGAAGAGAGAAACTCAGTCAAAATAAAAATGCATATTCAGTATTCACATCCAAAACAAATGGGCAAACATCCACAGTCCCTAGCTAGGCAGAAGGAGATGCAAATTTAAACAAAAGGAAATCACACACACTTTCTGCATGCACAATGTGTTTGTACATTGCCATCAGAACAAAGAAATAGTCAGAAGTTTCTATCTCTGATAGGACCATTTTCTCCAAAAATCTAGCATTTTATAGGCAAGGACTTATTTTGTGTAGGGGGGATAGAATCTCATCAATTCACTATGTATTCATATTACAAATATATTTGTAATGCTCCCTGAAAGGTAAGTTTTCTTTTCTATAAGATTTATTAACGTTTCTGGCTTTGTAACAGGGATAGCAAAGATCTTAAAACCATTGACAGCACACTAATTTAGAAAGAATGTATCAGCTTGCTTTATTAATCTAATGGGACTTTGTACTTCATGTATTTCTTGAATAAAGATTGGTAATGCTTCAAGAAACATTAAAACAAGTATTGCATCTATGTATCTTTAAGGCAAATATTAGTCTTGACTGGGGAGCACTGAGTGAAGTTAGCAGATGATTACTAGAAAAAAAAACAAGAAGGAAGTGGTTCTTCACACAGAGTTCAATTAAACAATGGCCCTCTATACACAGAATGTCATGGATGCTAAAAACTTACATAGATTCAAAGCATAACTGTTTCAATTCACAGAAATTGAATTAAATTCAATTCAAGTCCTCCACTGAGGACTATTAAGCCCAAAGACACCTTCTACTTATCCAGGCATCCCTGGTTCGGAGGTTGGGAAGACATTCTGGAGAAAAGCCATTACACACTTCTGCTCCTATATATTTGCCTATATTTTAATAAGTGACAAACTAATATGCCTGTGAACATAATTTGAAGAGAGAAAACTATTATTTTTTACCTCTGGAATCCCATCCATCCTTGTCAGAAGAGTAATTATGATCTCTCTTTCACCAGGCTTAAACTCCAGAATTCCTGTGCTTCCATAAAACTCATTATTGTCTCTTGGTTCTACAGTGTAGCGTAGAAACTGCCTGACCAGACTTCCTCTGCTGCGGACAATCTGCAGTTCCACAGACTCCCCTTCCTGTAAAAAGGAAAATCCAGCTTTTTTTTACCACTGTGCTTAAACTAAGCTGTCCATAACAATTAAGAGAAATTACTCAGATAGCTACCTTGATACTATAGGGACCTCTGGAAGAGGGAGAAAATTCGAACACTCCTCCAGGATCATCATTTTCCAAAATAATTATTTCACAAGTAGTAAACCCATATTTCAGTATTTGATTTTCCACACTGACCCTGAGAAAGGAAGGCAAGAGGTTTGTTTGAGTGACAATTTTGTTTGGCAAGTAAATCCACACCTATGCTAAGGACATCAGAATACTGATGAATTTTATGAATAAATTTTGAAAACAATCAATTATCTGCAAAGAATAAAATAAAGACAGACACATTGGTATGTTTTATCCATTTGTAAAAAAAACTTTGCTTCTGAAGTAACTGTTTTCTGATTAGTTTTATAGTTGTGTGGGTTTTTTTAGGCACACATGCACACAACACACAGGAAAAGAAACAGAACTGTGCAGTAAAAAGTTAGTTACATTCCGTATTACTTTGTATGTGGATCAAAACAAAGGATAATCCAAAATCATTTAAACAAATAGAAATTACATTGACAACTACGCATTCTTACCCTCTCCTGCAAAATTTATTATTGCTGCAAATAGGAAGAGACTTGCCCCTCAATATTGTGGATTTCATCCTCACTTGCGCGTTAACCTGCCTTCTGTAAGATGTGGACACTACCTGTAGGATCCCAGTTTGGCTCTAGTAAGAGTTGGATGACCTTTCAGTAGCTCAGACTCATTCCCTTTCTCCTCCCTTACTCACAAACCTGCTGCCTAAAAGCATATGTTGAACGGTGCAGGCATGATCAAATAGTGCTCCCCTTGGTGGAGGACTTCTCTCCCTGGGCTACTGCTACGCCATCTTGGTCTTACTCATGGACACGAATGGGCCATATCCGACAAGAGAAAGAAACCTTGCACATTTCTTGCATTCATTTCCTCAGATGTGGTAATTTTCAATGACATTGTTTTAAGTTCACTACATTAAAAATGCCAGAAAACGTACTACTGAAGGATGCATCAAGAATGCACCTTCAGACTGACGGTTTGGATATGGCTTATTACATGGTGTTTTATGTATTTAGATTTCCTGTGCATCTTGCGTGTTTCCTGGAAGAAAATTTCAATGAAATCTTAGTCCAACATATTGTAAATATTTTCACAGTTTCACCATACTACAACCCAGACTTCATCAAACACTATTTCATGTAGAAAGAAATGTGATCTATTATATCCAATATTTGAAATCAGTTCCAGAACTGTTTCCACAAACACTCCATAAATAACTGGAATGCCCCCACACAAAAAAAATGAATAGCAATGTATCTTGTAGCAAAGTCTACAGGCAGGACACAAGACGCAAAACAGGAAATATCTATTTAATAGGGTAACATATCATGTTTATTGCACATTAAAAAAATATGTCAGGAGACACAATAACTTGTGTTAACATAAACTAAATGTAGGTTATTCAAAAACAAGATAAAGGCTCATCTTTGAAGACAGAAAACTGTAATTCTAGTCAGTTCAGTCATTTAGTTGGGGCAAATTGTATTTGTGGCAGTTTAAAACAACTAATCCATTATTGCATCAAACGCTCAAATATCAAACACTGAGCCATGCATTCATAACTTTCATCATTCACAGATCCTAAATAAAGAAACGCCTCCAAGCCAGAACCTCATGCCATCAAATTAAAAACCAAAGGGCAAGCATGCATTGTCTGAAGAGATGCAGAAGACGTGATTCCTGAGATGAAAAGAAATTATAAAGACAGATTCTGTCCAAACCAACCACTTGTAAAACAAAGCATTGATTCACTGAAGACAAACCACAGTTCACTGCACTTACCCAAAGTACACGACAAACCTTTCTGTCTCTACCCTGTCAACACAGAAAGAAAGAAAGAAAGAAAGGGGATGGGGGAAGGAATGAAAGTGCCACTTGCTAGAATTTCAATAGTACTAATCTTAGAAAAGAATAATAATAATTTAAAAAAACCCCAACACAAAGCTTTCTTTTTCCTTTCCAAAAAGCTTATAATGTTCATTTTATGGGAACCCTACTTGCTTGGCATTTTCCTGTTGACAAATGCTAGCAAGTGGGCAGTTCCCACTTAGGAGAAATGACCCCATGACCAATTCAGCATGTCAAGACCCATTCATGGTATACCCTACCAGGCCCTCCTCCAAAAGCTCGATTACTGCCAACCTCTGTGCCTGCTCACAACTGCACCAGCAGCCCACATTTATAAATAGCTCTTCAACTGAGAAAAAAAATCTACATGCTTCCATGATACGTTATTTCATCATTCTGCCAAAGTAATGATAAAAAGAGATAAGCACAGTGAGAGTTGTAATGGGTATATATCAAAAACTATTCTGGCACAAAATCACATCAAACTTTATTTGTGACAATTTTTCAGTTAATCAGATTGTCAAAGTAAAATAATAAATATAAAAATATAACAAACAAAAACAGAAAATAAGGAAAGGGAAGGGAAAGGGTATTTGCTGATCTCTTAACTGGTTCAGTTTTGGCCAAGCACTTGTAACAAAACTACCACATCAAGTCAGATGAAAGGGCAGTATTATTCTGCAATGGCAAGCGTGCATTTTGGCTTTCTTAATCTAAAATAAATATAAATATAAACCTGTATCTTCTATCAAAACACCATGAACAGATTACTACAGAATTTATAAAGTAAAATTCTGACTTCACTAATCTCAAAAAGAACTCAGATTTGGAATTCAATAGAGATAAGAGTTCACTCAAAATTCTGAAGAAATAAAGCAAATACACTTGCAGATACAGTCTTTCAAATAGGATATCTGAATTAATATAAATTTGTCATTGATTTCAATGAGGCTAGATTTTAAATACTATACATTGAGACATTCTCCCTTCCTTCAGAAACGTATGCAAAAGTGTTCCAAAACAATCAAAGTATTAATACAATGAAAAGATCAAGGAGAAAATTCCAGAGTTGGTAATCCTAAAATTTAATTATATCACTAAGCTGTTGGTAATATAATTTACAAAAGAGAATACAAATGAACCATTATGTCAAGTGAGTTTTTGATATGTATGTACAAGCTTAAGTAGTTAAGACATAATAATGCATCAGAAAGTGAAAGGTCATGCCAGAAATGAAACCTCTTTCAGCTTCATGGAGTTACACTGCATGAGCCCAAACACAGCTCAGGCAAAAAAGCCTGTTAAGATGAACTGAGGAGTAGTGCTGGAATCTAATATTGTGTTGTAATGCACAACGGAAGCACTGCCGAAACTGAAGAGGGTAGCAGACATGAAACGGCCACAAGGTACCATGACATGTGCACCTTGAGCATCTCCAGGTGTTCTTTGAAAGGACTGAGAAGGCTGGCAATACTTTAAAACTCACAGTGTAAGTCAGATCGGAATCTAGAGAACTTGCAGGTCAGAAAGCAACTAGTCAGGTTCAGCCCATTCACTGCTAAAGGAAACCATTGCTTGGGAGGTTTCTCCATCCACGTCCCATTTTCAACACTAGGATCAATTCATTTATTTATGTATTGACTGATTGATCTGGCCATGTTTCCTCTGCATGACTGGCCAGATTGCTATCACTGCTCTGACACAGTAAATGTTGGTTACTATTCAAAAAAGGCATAAAATAGCCTATGCAAAAACAGAATGGAAGCACCTAGGCTTAGGCTTCCAACTCTGAGCTGCTGTTACATGAGCAACCAATGGTGTACACAATAGGACCCTTTGTGTCTACACTCTGAGGTACACACATATAAATTCTTATAACATCCCCGGACCAGGACCCACCAAGTGACTTCCCAGCTCGACCTTGGATTTGTCTCCTCGCTGTGGACCTGCCTGGTAATCGCTGGGCTGTGCCTGACCCCGGTGACCATCATCCGACCTAAACCTGACGTGTGTTCCTGGCTTGACCTGCCCCACCACTATGACCTTGCCTGATGCCCTGGACTCCAGGGTGCCCCCAGTTACCGGCTCCAACCTGCTCTCCTGCCTTGCTGGGGGTGGTGGGATGGGCCCCTGCCCGACTAGCCATGTTATCAGGCTGGACTCCTGGCTCCACCACACAGCCCCCCAGGCCATCAGCCGTCAACTCTTGCTACATGCCCTGACTACATCCAAGAACAACGCGCTGTTCATGTACAGTCCTTTCGTTGCTGAGTAAAGATGTCCAAACTGCCACAGAGTGCACAGGATCAGTTTAGTCTTGTGTCACTCTTTGTGGTATGTGAAACCATCTCTTTAGGCTCTCCTGTAACAGCAGTGCGGAAACGGAAAAAAATGGCTATTTAGAACTTCTAAAACTCATGGTTTGCCCAGGCAATGGCATTCAGAAGTAACAATAAAAGTTAAAATAGCTCCTTGTACACGGTCACTTAGTCCATACCAAGGAGGTCCAGCTACTAGAGACAGCACTTGACCAGGAGTAAGGAGATCCCTCTTGCTGGGAAAGCCACTTGTTGTTCTTTCTCCTCAGCTTAACTATTCTGCAAAACGGCATGTGGACATGAAGTTTCATTTTATCACAGAGGATAAGCCCTGGCAATGTTTATGATGCTAACAGAAGAAGTGCAATCTCAAACTGCGTAAGTGTGTTTTCTGTGATGAAACAGCTGTAAAAATCACTTTCCATACGACAAATTTCATGTGAAATGACTCGTCATTAGGGAAATTCTTTCTTTAAAAAACCTTCATTATTATTTAGCAAGAACTACAGATTAATTAGAACAACTAACAGAAGCTTCAAATTGTTTCTTGCACTTTTGTAGTACCCACGTTGCTACAAACTACCGAAGATTTTTGACTGAGTTTAAAGTAACATGGGAATTTCAATGTTGTTATGAACTAAGTACCACTACAAATAAAATAATAATTATTAAGAGATGCAATGTGGTCAAATTTTATAGCTTTTGGACCAAGAATTGGAATTCTGCAGAAAGTGAATGTTTTCAAAGGCACCTGAGAAACTGAACTGCAACTGTGAATGCACATTGCTGTTACTATTAAAACCACTAAAAAACTTTCTTTTCTGTCAGGGTATCTCAGAAAAGATGCATTCAGGTTGCCTGTGGAATGTTACTCAATTTGCTTCCTAGATTTGTAGTCAGCGTTCACCCCTTCTTCAATTTTTTCAGGATTATCTACTGATTTAATTAGTGGCAGGACCTAGCTCTAAAGAACAATATTAAAGTAGGATTTGCCACATTATAAATTCCACAGTGCTCCTCATCAGAGGGAACACCTTCTCTCCAGGCTTAATCCACAAATTATTTGAGTTTGGAGGCTATTTTAGTTTTTGTTACTCATAGCAGGAGATATATGGTGTTACTATTTTGAAAAGTAATAAAAGCTAGCAGTAGGTGTCCAGTAGCACTCTTTTCAACATTCTACTACTATTTTCAAGTAACATTTTCCCCATCAAAACAAAGTCTGACCAAACCCTTGAAGAAAAAGCCAATGGTTTACACCGGAAGAGGTAATTCCTATAGCATCACGCATATTACTTAATAGAAAAATCACCTGAGTAAGACAGATAGATAAGGTTTGGAAACAGACGCTAGCCACAGGAGATCACCAAGTTAGGAGAAAATCCCAGCTCCATTAAACAGTATATTAGTGTTTCTGTGCATGCCAGTGCAGACAGCAACCCACTGTTGCTGAGCCCTGAATTAAGGACCATAGACAGTATGCAGTGCTTTAAATGGGCATTCTATGATTTGTTAACTTTTTGACATAAAGTAATCTCTTAAACACAAAAATGTTAAAAAACTACCAGACATTTCATAATGAAACAGTCAAACCTATGTTTTGCATTTGCAATTTTTTTTAAAATCGGTTTTCTAAATTTACTCAAGACAGAATTTCAGCCAGTAGAAATTTGTATCGCATCACAGAAATCACTAGAACTATAAAAATCCACGGTACATTGCTTCAGTTTTGCTTTATCATAAATAGTAAATGAGATTTAGGTCATAACATATGTACACAAATCTGTTCTGGCATCCTAAATTATGAGTCATGACTCAAAAAAAATTTGAGAATAAGGACTACTTAAAGTCATCTGTTCATAGGTTATCATTTTCACAAATTAAAATCGATTTATCAGTATATTGCTGTTCACAGGTCCCAAAGTCTGCAAGTTCTTATTTTCACCACCACTCATTTAAGAGTGCAAACAACAACCCATGTGCCCTGGAGGTCCTGGCCCTCCACTTGTGCCAATTGCCAAATCGATAGCTGTGTATCTGCACCTTACTGAGGGGATGACAACTGCCAGTTGGAGTATATGATGTGCAGAAGGAAAAAACAACAATCAGGTTTTTAAAAAACTGGTTTCTATTTGTGTTTACCAGGTAAAATGAACAGCCCTAGTATGTATGTATGCTTTCTCAAAGCACACACACAATTTCCACGGCCTGTTCCACCTACATTCATCACGAAGACCAAGGCCTTTTCTTTCTCATACAGATTTCACTACAGATATCTGACTTTATTTATGTTTGGTCTCAATTCAGGCCTGTTCAGATATGGGCAGGCATTCAACCTGAAGCTGCTCCTAAAAAAAGAAAATATGAAGAAGCTTCAGCAGGTACAGGATTGTCTTGCTTCTTTATTACTCATCTGTATTCTTTGGAGCATATTCTTCAGGATATACACTGGCCTCCATTTTGTGGACATAATTCAGTGTTATTTTAATATCTACGGTCCATGGACAGAGGCCATAGAACAAGGAAAGAAAATACTATTTTTAATGGCTCAGAAAGTTTCTTTTATAGTTCTGGATGCAATTAAAGCTCGTTTAAAACGTAAACTGCCTTAACAACACCACTGAGTTGCAAATAATACATCCTTGTTAGAACTAATTATTTTTATTATTTTATCCATGCTATTACTAATTGCAATAAATAGAATGCTTACGAATGTATTTCTATGTCTATAGTTTCATTAAAGTTCTTACATGCTCTATTTTCCTACTGACTTATGGTACAATTTATAGAACAGTACGAGCACATCCACAGCACAGTGCATCTTTGTTTTCATGCTAATTCACTACTGCTGTGAGGTGCTGGCTGCCAACCTTGGAAACTGAAATCTTCTGTTCATCCAGAAAATACAAACTATGCAGGAAGCAATACCACAAGCTTACACACATAATCCTGCCAGTACCCTTCAACCCTGATTTGAAGAGTCATCTCCAGTACTGAAAGGATGATCTTCGCAGTCATTTCATTCTTGGCTTCTGCTAATGTTAAAGTTGCCAAACTTCCCTCATAGCCTTGAGGGACACCATCCAGGTCCAGAGAAAAGTTCAGATTTTCTCTCCTCCTCGTTTACTTCTTTCTCCAGGCCAGACCACCTGTTCCTTACTTCACTTTCTGACCTTGCCAAGTGTGGGAAAGCTGCTTACTGCTGGCACACTTTTTACCAGCCACTTCATGAGCCGCAGAACTTGCTACTCCCACCATACATAGTAAAAGCAGAACAGTGGTTACATTTGTTCAGCTGCCAGTTCAATTCTCATTGCAGCCATCACTTTCAGGGCACAGCCTAGGGTTACTACTCAGAATCAATGGCAGAAAGCTGTAGTTACACACACCTGCAGAGCTGTCAGAACTTAAAAAGTTAACCTTTTACACTGCCAACTTCCTCTATCTACTTATTTGTTCCCCACCCTTCCACGCCCATTTTTTGGCCACCTTACACTTCTTCTTCACAACTTCCATCATAATTTCTAATCTTAGTTTCCCCCTTTGTGTGAGAGACTCTAATGAATTCCTTGAGATGAACCAGGAAAGCAGAGAACTGCTTGCAATAGTCTCCATTTGTTTTTGTCTTGAACAGGATTGTGTTTTCAACATAGTAAGTAGCCAAGGGAGAATGAAATAACTCATTCTGCACTAGATGCATTCACCAGCCAGCCTTATAGAAGCAAGCCAATCCTGCAATGGAATAACATCTTTCCTGTGCGATAGAATGATGTTCAAAAAACTGGCTTTCCAAAACAGGACCAGCAACAGCTTGAGGAGCTGGTTCACAGTTTGCTAGTATGTAATCACCATGGATATCTGGTGTTGAAGCTCCCAAGAGCTAGTTTGCACTTCCTATATAGGACAAAAATACTTCTGCATAAGGTAAGGACTGTGTAAGTAGTAGATGTTAGATGTGGACATTGCTACTGCCAGACCCCTATTAGTATGTTTCCAGAAAAAGTGGAAAAACGTACCTTAGACTAATAGGAGGTAGTAGAAGAAGTGGTGGTATTTCTAAACTATATATGCAATTGAATTGTTGGAAGCAGGACAGAAGACCTAGCCAAGATTCTCCTGTTAGTAAATCAAAGAGGGAATATACTCCTGGATACGAACTAATTTAAATATTCTGAGTAGTGCTCACAAGCAGATAATAGCATCTCTTGAGGTCCCTTACAGCCCTAATTATTCTATAATCCTGATCATGTGCAGAAGAGACTGGGCTGTTTCGGAAGCCAGGAGCTGTGAGGGAAGTGTCTAATTATCAAGAGCAAGCAATACCGAACATGCAGATCAAACAAATAAAAAGCTGATCTAATTCTGCAATGACACCCTAGCTATAAACCTTTTTCTGGCAGAAACACAGTTATGTATTGCTTTCTACTCTTCATTATAGTTTTCCTGATTATCTCACTAAATACTACTTTTCTCAAAAGACATGTTACAACCAAGAGCTATAACTAAAGATCAAAGCTGAAAGAACTTTCTAAATAGCATACATTATTTTCATCAAAATGGAAACAAAATTAAGTCATTAGATAATAAATACAACACAGTTTCTTACACTGATCTCCAGTCAAAGAAGAATCCATACGCAGTCTGAATCCAGGGCCTAGTATTCCTTCAGGCACTTATCAACACAATACAGGCAATACCTCCTAATTAGTACTGTCCTAATTTGTTATATATAAATTGAGTATTACAACTGATACATATGAACAAGGATTAGAGTACTATACCTGTCCAAAGTTAATAACACAGTTTCATTCATTTCAGGTATATCATCAGCTTTAATAGTAATGTTGATTGTAGTATCACTTTGTCCAGATAAGAAAACAACGGAGCCATTAAAAGGACTTATATCGTCATGTGTTACTGCCTTCAGATTGACACCAGAGGGTTTCAAACTCCAAAACACAGTTGCTTGACCATCCGTCCCATCTCGATGCAATGCAATGGAAATCTATGAAATACATGAATCTGTTGTGACTTGTAAAACTATATGCAAAAACAATTACGCCCTTGTGAATTACTATTTGAATATGAGCCTCAAAACGACCACCTTGGTTTTTTTTACTCATATCTATGCATATGAGATGAAATCAAAGATGGTGTATCATTGAAAATATATACTGAATCTTACTCTTTTAACCATTTATCATACTTGGACAGTGGAGATGGCAGATTATTTATATCACAAATCACTAAGCAACCATAAACACAAAAAGTTTTGTATGACTGATTTAATCAGTGCCCACCTCTTCAAGACACAACCTAGATTTTAAATATAACTACCATAATTTTACTCTAGTTATTACAGTACAGTGCAACCTGTACTCTGCTTAAAGTAACTAGCAGTTTTAACCTGAGAATGAGAAAAAAAGTTATCTGATTCAGGATAGATTCTTGAATCAGGGAAGATGTCAGTGAAGACAGCAAGGGAAAAAAAGTGAAAATGTATGAAAAAAAAAAAAAATTTTAAAAGTTTCTCCAGCTGGGACTGAGGCACTCGTATGGAGGGCAATGCTTTTGAAAATGCTTCTTTGGGTTCTCAGAAACTTAAAAAGCATAATTGTTGGAAAACACGCCCAGCGAGCCAAAAAACATGTTCACATGTAAGTCAGTCAACTGTAAGATACACAGACATTTCCATGAAATCTAGGAACAATATCAGTCCTACTTTACATTACTACCTTTGCAGTTGGTGAGGGAGATTAAAACTGTCTGCAGCATCTTTTGTTCAACTGTGTGAGCATCAAGACCTAACTGTTTTTGGATGCTTACAGAGAAAGCAAAGATCAACCTCACTTTTCTGATAATGACAAACACATTATTTCAGACCTTAGTTTTACAAGTACTTTTTTGCCTTTTTTTTTTTTTTAATGTAAGGGAATATTCAGGATCAGACAGAACTTAGAGGAAGGATTTTCCTCACATTAACTTTCATATGTTACACTGAGTATAGCAAACTTTGCTTTCTCCAAATAAATTTTCCATAATAAGGGACAATATAAAAAGGTTTACTTACCACTGTAGCAGCTGAGTCTTCCGGCTCAGAAAGAATAATTGGAAGATTGCTAGTAAAGCCTATTTCTCCATTTGCAATATCTGGAGTAACCCTCAGAGAAATATTTCTCATCTCACCTAATCTAGGACTCACAGGTGGGACTAGAGGAATTCTATTCACCAGCTTTTTTTGGGAAAAGTAAGAAAAAATTGAGAAATACGAAACCTTAGTACCAAGTCAGAAGAATTCTGAAATTTCAGAATAAGTTTCATATGCAGGGAGCAAAACATCTCCAGAACAAATTCCTCTTACTGGCAACATTAATGTTACAAAAACATGTAAGTAGATGTGTCTAAGAAATGAAGTGGATACTGTTGAGCTTTGTAGGCAGAATGGTATACCTGTCAGACAAATCATGTTCATGTACACAACTAAATGTACGTAGAGGGAGAATGAGCCTTCTAGATCGTCTGATTCATTACTAGACCTACAAATAACAATATTGATTTGACAAGTGGCCCAAGCTATTGTCCTAATTTCATTTTTTGTGCCACACATCGATAAAAATCTGCTGAAATCACTGGAACCATAATAATTTACAGCCTCTAATGAAGTCAAAGAATGATCCAAACTTCCTTCCTCTCTCATACAACTTTAAGGACTTATCTATATATAATAACTAATACATTAGAATTGCATTCAGAACTGAAAATCAGTACAGCATTTCAAAACTGTAGTCTCCTCTTGTGTTACCATATTTCTGATGGCTTACTGATACTAAGAAGAAATAGAAAAACGTTTACCCTTTCTTTGAGTGGGACATACCACTCAATAAACCCAGCAGCAGTACCAACGTAGTAAGGAGAGCAGGACTTGCCTGTTTAAATATTTCTTTCAAATATAATTTATACCATGTGATTCTGTCTACATGCATCATTATAATAAATGTTTCCATAACTGATTTGCATATACTTCTGCAAACATTTCACTGAGGCACAAACCCCCAATGACAACCACCTTTAACTCCCACAATAATCTTTTTTGCTTGGAGTTATCAGATGTTATCATACAGTAAGGTTTTATTGGAGGAGGGGAAAGTGGCCTTATTTAAATCCATATAGTGATCATGAACCATTTCAACTTATGAGCTTTAAAGCCGTTCAATTCTTAAAACCAATCTATATAAAATACTTGGGCTGTGTCATACTTTGTTCTACCATCGCTTGAGTAACACACAAAAATATTCATGCACATTTTGTTTGATGATAGATGGAACTGTTTTACAAATACTGTATTCAGTAATTGATTCTCAACCATACCAGCTAGTTATTGAGAGACTGAGGAACAGATGGTGGGACTGTTTGTTTCACTTGTTTTCTAAGCTTTCTTTCAGAGTAGGCCCTGATCCTGCAATTAACAGTATGCAGGTGGACCACTGTGTGGTTGTTAGCTCAGTAAAGTTTCTGAAATACCAGACAGCTGAAACAATTCACTTTGTTAAGCACTTCTGATCCTGGATAGTAACTTTGAGGTTAAAGTAATAATTAATGAAGAACCAAGATTTTTTTTTTTTTAGTTCAGTGTTTCCTTTTAAAGCAAATCATCTCACAAGGAAAAAAGAATGCATTGTGAATTGAGTAATAATGATGAGTAGTTTATTAAACTAGTTAATCTTCCTGTCCATACCAAAAACTGCACCTCAGACTACAGTAGGTTGAAGATGTCACTGAAGAATATTGATTTCACTTTTCTAGTACCTCTATCCATTCTCTAGTTGTGTTTAAGCTTCATTTCCTCCTCCACTCCTCCTCCCCTGATTCCTGAGTTGATTCTTTATTGTGCCCAGTACAAACTCTGTAATCTTCTCATTCTAAACATGTTCACTGAGATTATCATTTATTCACAATGTAGAAGGATTGTCATAGTGATAAATGGGGGTATTTTTCTTCCTTCTCTATGAGTTTCTCAATGATTTTCTGTGCTGGCAAGCCCCTCTGATTTTGTTTATTCAAACAAAAAAGATTTTCATGGTTCATGGAGAAAGCACAGAACATTCACCCCCCCACCCCCTCCCCGCCTCCTTGGAATCCGCAGTTTCAAAAGCCGGGCAAAGTGCCTGCATTCTGAAATACTTATCATATGTGTGTCTTGTCCATAGTCCACACTGCAATGTTATTTATAATGTATCATTTAAAAGGGGCTTGGAATTAGATATTTCAATTCTTCTGTATATCTTTCAGGTCTTGTGCAGATGTAAAACATACTAACCTATTGTAGTATTCCAGAACGCAATTCCCTAGCTAACTGTGAAAGCCAAAAATTGCATACTAGTAAAACAATAATATAATTCAGGCAAGGACTTTTTTTTTCTCTTTTTTTTTTTTTTTTTAAGAGAATGTGGGGAGAAGGAGGTGGAGGGAAGAAATCTTTTCAAGGTCCCAGAAGTAATTAAAACATCTTTAGTAGACCGTAAGTTAAAGACAAAACCTGGCAAATTTTAAATCTATGGATTTATTATCAACATTTCATTTGAAAACTCTAAATACCTCTGACTCAAAATTAAAAGATCAAAAGGAACTAACAAATGCCTCTAAAGGAACTAAGAAATGCCTCTCTGATTTGTGCTTTGGATCTGCCAGGTCACCCCTTTGTGTACCAAGACCGCTACCTGGGCTCTTCATCCCCGATGGCCAGAGTGGCATAGTTAATCACAGGAAGTAGAGATTATAGGGCAGTCTTAACTGCAGATGAGGAAATAATCATAACAAATACCGATGACAATGCCCAGGATCTTCCACAGCAGTATATCTGAACAATATCGTGCTAAAATGCAAGCAAACTTGGTTTTCTCCAGTGAAAAATGAAAGCCCTCATTGGAAAGTGGAAGTTCTTTCTTTAAATATTTTTGCTGAAAATCCAGTTTTCTGTCAAAAACACAGTTATAGTGAATTTTTCTAGCCAGTTTTAATTAGCAATGACAGAAGCTCCCTTCTTACAAATTCAGATAGAAAAAAAAAGAGGAAAAAACCCCAAAAGGGCAGCAAGGAACACTATACAGAGAAAACCGGAAAAAATACTTTTGAAGTTCTCTGGCCAAATTCATACATAAATGAAATATAATGTATGTTTGACTATTTTTAATATATATTTACTTGCTTGTCATTTCTAAAATTTGTCACGCTTCTGTAATTCAATTTTAAGAACCTTAATTTGGTTAAATTGAAAGCCAAGGGGTAGACAGAGAAACATACCTCAAAAGGTAACTAACTTCTGTAACATTGATCTCATTTTGTTAAATTCCATGATTAATAGCTGAATCCTGTTACAACAATCTTTTTAAAAAATGGTGTAATTAGTAAATAATGATTAGGAGTAGAGCTCTTTACGGCATATTTATGGAAGCTGTCTCTAAATAAGAAAGTTTTCTTAGCTACAGAGCTAATAACTTTTTTCCTTTTTTTTTTTTTAACAGGTAGGGTCATTTTAATTAAATTACAAGGGAAGGAGCCAATACTAAATTATATCCTTTATATTACACGGGCTAAAAAAACCACCTCAAAACACAATTGAGATACCTGTACAAGGAAATGAGCACCATTTTGAAGAAATGCATCATTTCTTATTGGTATATTTAAAGTATCTTGCATTTTTCCTTCTGGAAACGTGAGCATGCTTCTTCTAGACATATTTAGAATGCCATCTTTCGCTCTCTCAGGATCCAGAGCTCCAGCTGGAATATACAGTGCAGTATAAATCAACTGCACATCTCCAACTGTTCCTCTCTCCCTTGCAAAACTCAAGGATAAAAAGCGTCCCGTTGGATTACTTTCAATCTTCTGATTCTCCAAAGGATAAAATTTTATGAGGCCATAAACATCATCACTGTCCTGAATGTAAAACAGAAGCTGCAAAACAGAAAACAGCATCACTTACTCTATGTTACAGTTACTAAATACTATAGTTTTCATGCTTTCACGAAAGCACGTCCTGACTGTCACCATACATTTTTCTCCTTAGTGAATTGGCGCTCAAGAAAGAAATCAGACTGACAGCCCCAAAGTATTCTTTGTACACAAGCAGCACAACACTGACAGTGGCAACTTTCCCACTATGCATCATCTGTGTGCCACAATGAGCTCTGAATAACTGATTTTTTGTCAGCAGCCAAAGTGAATAGTGTAAAAATGTTTCAGATTGTGAAAAATTTCATTTTATTCACCAAGTTCATTCCAACCATTTTTAAGAACAACAAAGTAGGGACTTGGGTCACAAAACTGTCAGCAATGCTAGGCACCCTTTATTTAACAGTTCAGAGGTTACAGTCTTAATCACCAACCCCTCCTCTTGAAGATGTTACTCTGTGTAAAACATTCCAATAATCATTAAGACAGCAAATGAGCAAATGAAATTAACTTTCCTGCCTTCTCTTAGCAAGCAGTCACTCAAGACAGCATTTATGCAACACTATGTATGTTGGGAATAATCTAAGCTGAGTGCTACTGCATTAGAAAAGTCTGGCTTTGCATACTATACTAAGCCAAATACTTTGGATATGGCTCTATATACTAAGATTATATTAAGGATTAATTTGTTTGATTTATATTCAAGCCCAAACCGTTTAGCCAGTTCAGCCAATCAATCAATGTTATCAAAAGTGGTAAAGTCCGTAATTATTACCTATTATTACCTTCTCCAAAAGAATTCTAAAAGCAAACTTACCTCAGATGGTTCACTGACTTCTGCACCTCCCTGTATCGTATGAGCTAAGAGTTTCAGAAGATAGGGCTCTGCCTCTTCTGGTATATCGTCATTAATAATGTTCAGAGGAAGTGTTACCAGCATCTGTCCTTGATCAAAACATATCTCCCCGGTCTCTGGAATGAGGTCTGCAGTCACAGGTGAGGGATCACTGCTATTTCGGATTATAACCCAGGTAACAGAAACATTTCCGTGTGTTCCACCATTTCTTACAATCGTGATCCCTTCAAACCTACGGTTTTGAATGAAAATAATAACCCACAATATAAAATTATAATTAATATTGCCTTGCTTAGTTATCGATTCCCTGAAAGATTTACACTGACTTCAGTGGAATAAATATTACGTGCTGCAACTGACATTTCAGTCAGGGCTTAACACACATGTAAGACTTTTCTTAGAGTGCTTACTCATGAGCTCTCTGTAATGTCTCTAAAGATATTTGTTAGAACTTATTTTGTTTACAGCGAGAAAGATACTGCAAAGTGGAGACTTGGCATGTTATACATTCGCCTCAAGAAATACATGTCACACTTCAGAAAACTTTTTCCCTATTAACTTTCTACACCATTTTATAAACTATATCAAAATACAGTGGCCAGGCATGAACATTTAAATAATGATTCTGAATGAACTATTTGCCTCTGTACTGAAATATTAAGTTATTGATATTTATTATAGTGGAAATGTCATGTTTCCTGCATCTGACAAGCACATGACTACAACAAAAAGTCTGGGAATCATGACTTACAAAAATTTAGAAAGCAAGATTTATTCCTTTACCATGTATAAGAAAGGAAGATGAATGCTGAACTGCTGGGCTCTACATACTATAAAAAATTCTTTTGAAATTGTTCATAGTATGATAGCTTGATGCATTACCTGTTTCTCTGGGGATGAACTACCATCAGTAGCTAGCAGTGGACATTTTTATTGACACTGTCAATACTGTGTATCAGTCCTGCTTGTAAAATTTGTACAGAACTTTGATTTTAATCCCTCTGTAAAATTACAGATATTTAACTTATTCTTAAGTTTAAGCTAAGTATTTCATGGGAGACACGCCACCTTTTTTTTTTTTAATTCAGAAACTGATTTTATATATAGTAAATACAAAGGTTAACCAGGGAAGAAAGCCAGAAATCTAGTTCCCACTTGTATGAACTGGTGTGTGGTAGCATCACGACTTCATTGATTCTGCCTTTAGATTAAGGGTTTTTCAGTGTTCTGATAATGTGATTAAATAGTTACAGTTTGTACATATAGTTCATAAATATTAAAATACCTCCTGGATAATTAGACATTCCCACTTCCTTGAAATCTTTGTAGATATAGTTGATAACAACAACACACTAAGTGATGTCTACATTATATTTTCAGTAGTGGTTTTATAATTACTTTCGATGAAATCCTAAGGCTGCTTAACAATGGCAAACAAATCTCTTAAACTGCCTAGATACTAGATTTGAAGATCTGTAGTACCTTGAAATTTGGTCTTCATCAATGATAACAGTCTGAGCAAACACGATACTGTTGATTGATAGCACTCCATAGGGTTTATCATTCGGTTGGATGGTGACATGAACAACAGATGGATTAACCAAAACAGCATCTCCTTGCAAAGTGTCCTTAAGAAGCATAATCTGAAAGGTCTCAGCAATTTCTGGTATGGCATCATCAAGGATCTTAAATTTCATACACGCTTCATGAACTAGAGGTGGGAAAACAATAGTTGTATTTGGCTGTAGATCTAGGAAGTCTACATTAAGCTGTGCATGTGCTGTTGAATTCCCAGTTATGATGGTGTAACTGACAGAGACTTCATGTTCATCAGGTCCAACTAATTTTCCACTGACATCCTTACCACGAACCACTTGAATTGTTACCACATCAGCTTCCTCAGGCACCATATAAGCACTCTGAACAAAACGCACAGGACTGTCATTTTTCTTAATATTAATCTGAACAGAATTTTTTGTGTTGTTGATTTCTGCCCCTCCCTCCACGCTCCTCAGATGCACAATGAACAATTCATCATTTTCAGGTATCTGGAAAAATAATATTAGCAACTGGGTGTAAGTCACATTTCAAATACATGCAGAACACTCTTACTAAGAAAATATTTTCTATTTATTTTGCAGAAAAAGGAAATAATACAAACTTGACAGCTCATTTCGTATTAAAACAAACAGGAGAGAGTCTTGCTTTTAACTTTGGCTGAAAATCCCTTCTCAAAATTGAATGTTTCCATTTTCTAAAACATACTTCTGTGCTCTGGCAACGTGAAAAAGGGTGGAAAGCCAAACAAAAGCAAAACAAACTAGGCAAGAATCAGACAAAGCTGGATCTTTCCAACTTGAGACTATGAGGAGATCTGAACTCTACTTTTGGGAGCCACCTCTATTTGGAAACAAATGTTCCTCCTTGTTATTTAGATTTACATCTTGATTTTGTGATATTGACACTGATTAACCTCTATGCATGCCTGAGATAATACAGGAAAAACTTAGGGATGCAACCTACCTTGGCCATTCCTATACAACTGGAAAAGGAACAATTCCTATGTTCAGGCACACCCGCATCCCCAAGGAAAATTTCCATCACAGATCTGAGAAAGTGTTTTCTGGTGCTTAGCAATTAATTGGGCTTTGGCATTTCTACAAGATGACTGTTTAAAACTACCTTTTAGTTTTAGCTATTTCTTCTCCAATATCTGAGGCAGCAGACAATAAAGAATGGTTTATAAACTGCAAATTACAGAACTTAAGGATGAGATTTTTGCTTTATATTACTACATTTTATTCCCCAAATCTTGATTTGCTAAACCTATTTAACTAAAAAATATGATTATTTTATTAATACATATAGGTAAAAAGTAAATCTTTAAAAATTATTTATGATCTTTGCATCTCATCTTGCTGCGGACTCCTGGAAACCAGTATTATTTCTTCTGAGAGGAATTCCAGGACAAAATTACTTATTTTTTGCTAATGGTAATACTCTGTTATAAAGTTGACAAATCCTTTTCATGCACTTTTGTTTACCGAGCTAAAAAAGTTCTGAAAACCCTGCTGTCCAATATTTCTTCTCTTTCACACTCATTTGTTAATTGGCCACCCTCAGATCCTTTTCTAGGGCTAAGAGAGTGGGCATGCAACTGCCTTTGTAGCTGATGCCAATTCTGTCCCTTGTTTGGCTTGTGGCACTTAAACTTGCATAATGTTGTTGACTGATGCAGGTTTTTTTGTCAATGTGAGATCTGGAAGCTCTCAGTCACCTCCCTCCTATACTGAGATACAACAGAGTCATTTTACCTTACTAGAATAGATGCTAACTTATGTTGTGTTTAGTTCACTAATTAATATACCAACTTGCATCATAAAAATACACATTTAAGAGACAGTTAAAATGTGTTGTTGTAGTTTACATCTTAATATCTCATATAAAGGGGACATTCTGGAGTTCTTAATGGCATCGTGATTGACCAATAAAAAAAAACAGTCAAACTTCAAAGGCAACAGCATAAAGGATTTCCAGTGCTGCCTTGCCTCTTTCATTTTCTCTTAACAAAGCTTCCATTATTCCTCACTAAAAAAGGAAACTTATACAATAAAATTACTATAAATGTAGTCCTGTGGAGATCAGATCTGCAGTCCCCTGATTTCTGTAGGAAAGGTGCTACCCAATTCAGGAAAATACTTGTTTCATTGTTTTTCCTAACTTCAGATCCTAAAAGCTCAAACTAAGTTCTGAGAGTAACATTGGATTCTTGTGAATTCCATCATCTTCATCACCAACAAAGGTTTTTTTACGCAAAATGAATCTTTCATGTACGCCTGTGAAAGACTTTCACTGAGTGGACCAGCCACACCTGTACAGATCAAACCTTGAGAAACAGAACTTTGAGAGCATTTCTCAGAGGAAAAAAAAAATCACATCCCCCTAAAAAGCCTAATGATTTCTTTCTGTGTATAAGTCACAGAAATATTACATCTAATCTGAAAGAGATGTTTCTACACACCAGTCTGGCACAGTCTCTTAACATTAAAAATATCAGTATAGACATGGAAAACCACTTTTTATATCAGAAATATGCAAAAAAATTGCAAAATATTGCAAAATAGTTGTTCACTTCTGAGCACTTTTTTGCTATTCATTTTTTCTTGTGAATTTCCTCATGAAGTTGTTCTGTATCATATTTACTTATTTTGGTGCCCCTATTTACCTCTCATCCCCATTATAAATTTAAAAAAAAAGGAAAAGCATGTGTAAGAAAAAATGAAAATCAGAAAATGCAAAGTAGAAAAATATATTTTGTTTACTCTGAAATAGAAAGAAAGGCTCACAACAGATAAACTTTTTTTTTTAAAGACCAATCTAAAAATTGAAAATTTTTAATTATCACCTAATGTTCATGTTCTTCACAAGATTGCCTGTTTCTTTTAGGAATCTTACCTATTTTTAGAAGTATTTTTTAAAATGTGTTTCTACGCTGAAATGTATCTATATAAAAGAAAAATACATTTTTCCGATCTATCTTTTCTCTGTGAATATTCACTGTGTTATATTCTTTCCTTAGTGGCAAACATAACATGTCTGCTCTTCATATGAATGAGAGCAAATCAAGCTAACAAAGAATAAACTGGATTCTTATGAATTGTTAACTGAAGACACAGGAGCTGCATAGGCATCACTGAGGATGTAATCAAAAATGCATCATGGAAGCAATGTTATGATTAGGTTCCTTGTGCCTAAACAATTAATAAAGACAAAAAGGAGAGCCTGAGTTCATTATGCAAACATAACCTGAATTTGCAAGGCAGACAATTAGGGAAAAGCACAGCACATACAGAATACAGAAAAGTTAAATAGAGAAAGGACAGTCTGATAGAAAAAAACTAGATCTAGTTCAAGAACATCATCCCTGGCCATACAACAGGACCCCAGTATTCCATCTGAAAAAAAAGTATAATGCTTTCCTGATTATTTATACATTCACTGCATTAGCACCTAACAGGTCTAGTCAGAGCAGGATATGTTCAGAAACTGAAAATATTCACTGATGAGAATTACAGAGGTAGCATTAGAAGGAGTACAGTGAGAACTCATAGAGCCAAAATTTAACATCACTTTATTAAGTAGAAGCACTTTTAACCTTATTTAAGCCAAGCATTTTTGTAACTTATTACTCTAAGTCTCTCCAGAACAGCAGTGAACCTTCTACCTATCCAAACCAAAAATCAGGTCAGCTTGCTCTTACCTGATCATCAAGCACTGTTACATTATAAATCAGCATTGATCTCCCAGGGGTAAATGTAATATTTCCCCTAGCTGGACTTAAGTCTTCTTCAGCTGGGTTTGGTCCATCTTCTATCTGCAATGAATGATTTTTATGACAAGAAATATATAAAACAGGAATACAAATCTAGTACAAGTACAATAATCAATATACAGTGTGTGACATGCATAACAAATTACTATCTAGTCAGTCATCTCCTGCTCACAAGCACACACATTCCGATTGTGGAAATCTGCTCTTTTTTGGCAGATGGAGTAAGTCAGAGTAATCACTCCGAAAATATTATGTATTGCCAGAAAAAGAGGAAGAAAACTACTTCCATATAGGCTGAGGGCTCTTTGGTATCTACTGATGCGTAATTGACTCACATAACAGAAAGGATATTAATTTAATTTAATTTAAATCACTAGTATTTCATAATACGTTCCAAGACAAAAATAATAGCAGTTACTGGTTTTGTGTCCTTTCTATCTTGACTTGTGATAGTAAGGATATTACATTTAACAGTGAAACCTAAAAGACTAGGAAGCCACTTAGAGGCAATATGGTGGGGTTTTTTTAGAAAATCTTGTGAATTTTTTTCAACATGCATATATAAACTACACTGTGAGATGGACCTGATTAATTGTGCAGATAGTAAAATTTATTGGACCTTAAAACAAATAGATCTGCAATAAATTACACAGAGAATCTCATTGTGTACTTTAACTACACATGCTATATTTAGTATGCAATAAAATCCAGTGTAAGTCTTCTCAGATTTTGACAGGTCTAGATTAAACCCTTGATGATGTATAAGACCAGACAACTGATAAAGAAATATCCATATGAAAGAATTCATATATAATTTTAAAGTATGTAATAAAATCGGAGCTAGGTAAGAAAAAAAAACACAATAAAGGCAACAACTGTATCACATTCAAATCAAGTACATAAGTAACAGCCTAAATATTCAACATGAGTGGTTTAGTTTCTGGGGATTCAAACTGCAGTCTTACAGATACTGAATTTCACTAAATACTGAGCTCTCATACTTTCATGTTCAAAGTTGACACAAGCATTAAAGACTCACTCACGTGTTTATTTGTAAAATATAGATAAAATTCAAGTAACTATGTAAATAAGACATTTCTTACACACTTAATACACATTGTTTTCTACCAACTAATGCTGCCTCAAATATCTTCCTAATTGACAGAGAATACTCAGTTTTCTCTAGTATCTCTTAATTTTTCCTCAAATTAAACAGTCAGATAATTACAATATTTTCCATTTGCCAGGTAGTGTCTTTCCATTTTATGAAACAGATTTAACAAATGTAGACAAAGGTATTTTTCCCCTCTTTCACTTTTATAAACACTTTGATAAGTTATGATTATGGCCCCACAGTTCCATCCAACTGACTAAGGTAAGAAGTCTTTTTGTTAAACTCACCTCAAAAGTTACGATGACCGTCCCGTAGGTTCCCCTCTCCCTAATTAGAGTGAGAGGCACAAATTCATTTCTGCCCCTGGGCTCACTCACTGTGATTAAGGCAGACTAATGAGGAAGAAAAAAAGGGACAGGCAATCAGGCACAGATCAAATATCACAGCAGAAGGAAGAAACTGTTACCATAGAAATACCAAACTCCCACAGACAAGTTAATCCAATCTGCAAACCCGTCCACTGATGGCATACATTTCCTAGCAACCAATTAGTTCAGCTAATAAAAAGCTTGAAAGATTTCAGATAAAAAAAATATCATGAGTTATGCAAGTAGCGTGGGGGTTGTTTTGTAAAATAACATAGTCAATATACACAAAGCACTGGCATATTAGCACTGGTATTTATAGGAGCTCCTAACGCAGTTAAAAATAGGTTTTCTCCATTAAAAAGTCATTTATTAGATAACTAGCTACAAATGGACTCTGTCTATCAAACCGTTGTAAGTAAAAGATTTCAAAGAATTACACTAATTCAGGGAGCAGCATGGCTTACTACTGTGGTGCTAAAAATTTCTCATGCTCTTGTGCTTTTTCAGCACAAAGAATTTCTACTAACACAACCTCTGTATTATTGCAAATATCCTCCACACCACTAGAGTCACACCAGCATCTTATCGCAGAAGGTGTTATACAATACATATATCATGACTCTCAGCCTGAGAGTTAAGTATAAAATTGCTCACTAAAGATGGGAAAATGTATATATTATCACAATTTCCAAATCACATCTTTAACTTTCCTACGGTATTACTCCTCACTTCTTCCATACTATATTAACATCATGACTAATAGATGAGGGGCAGTGAGGCTGAACAACTTTTTAGTAGTTTTCTATTTAAGATGAGCAACATAGAATTCATCCGAGTGTGAGGGTCTCAGACTACGTCTCAACACCTAAAAACGTATAGAAGTATTAAAGCTGTATATATGTACGATTACATACATATCTATGAATTTCCTCTAGAAATGTTTTCAAAGATGTAACTCAGAACCGGTTTTCAAGGGGTTCAGTTGAACAACTAACCAGCACCTTTGAAAGTTTCACCTTTATGCTTTCTAAAATTTTCACATACACCATATAAAAAGCCATACCATGTTAAAAGAAATTATTCCAAAGGCATTGTCATTTGATAAGATTGTTACAGTGACAGATTTGGGTGAGCCAAGCTTTATCCTTGCAGATGGTTTCTAAAATTAACAAAACAAAATAAGATAATAAATATGGTGATGGGTAAAAAAATACACATTTTGATTTTACTGTCTTTTAAGAGTAAATATTAGCCTATGACAAATTGTATGTATTTTTATTATATATTACAATGGAAATTATTTAAAGCAATAGAATGCACCAAAATAATTGTTAATTACTGAGGAAATACACTCTATGCAGTCAACAACAAAGTGCTTGAAACAAACTTTGTAAATGGTTAGTCATGGTTTGGCAATCTATTAATGACACCATAGCAAGCGGGAATTAGGTATGAAGCATGTAGCACTGCCAGGAACTCCAAAGTTGTTCTTCCTTTCCTAACATTTGTATAAAACTGAAACTTTGAAGCTATTATACTGAGATACCAGCTAAAGGAAACAAATTTTTAAAGTGTTGTAAAAATGAGCTACTACGTTTACAAATCAAAGGAAGAAGGAAGGGAAAATATGCATTTTTATATTCACTGCAAACATCTCCTGAGATTGTAAAAGATTTGTGTAAAAATTGGCAATAACACATAAAATTTATCTTTACTGAACTGACATCAAACTTAGTCATGAACTGTTACCTAAAAAAAAAAGGGAATGTGAACTCCTCTCCTGTAGTATGACTCCTGTGAGACAGAATAATATGAAGAGACTTATTGATAAGTATTTTTAAAAGTGTTTGTTTTTAGGTAAGTCTCATTTACCCTTTGCTTCCAGAGGACTGGAAGTCATCCTCTTTCTTTTGCTACTTCCACCCTCTCTTCCAGGCATGGTCTATGCGGGAAAACAGAAAAGGCTGAAGAGTCTCTTCACAATCTTACTCTTCCGGGCTCTAGTACACCTTCAAATGTCCACAGCTGAATGCAGTGCCCGCTGAAGTTTCAGACTATGTCTATACTGCACAGCAACATCACATAGAGATGCCCACAGGAATGACAAAACCTTCCAAAGAGCAGCAAGCACCATTCTGGCTAGCCTCCAGATTTTAGTTCTTACCTATTAGGATTCAGACTCACAAGCAGTATGACTACACTGAAATCGACGGAATACCATTCATTTATGTCAGATTACCCACTGTTTTCTGGGGAACAGATAAATTGAAAAAATTGGAACTTACTGGTAGTGTCAAGTAAAATGTGAATGTCTCATCAGCCTCTGGAAGATCATCATCACAGACAGATATATACACTGTTCGGTTTGTTTCTGTCTCGGGTATAAACGCAGCTGCATATGTGTCAAAAAAGTCTCCTGTGTTTTCTCCATCAATCTGCAATAAATACACAACTGAATTCCTTCTCCTTATTCCCCCACTATCTTCTAGAATATTATTCTGGACTCATTTAACACACTTCATACACTCTTCTTTGCACATAACTCTTCCCGCAATTTTCCCTGCTGTCATACAGTTGATTTCTGGACACAAGTAGATAATAGCCCCTTGTATCTATGCTGAGTAACCAGGGGGGAAAAAAAACCACCACTTTCCTGTCTCACTCTAGGGACTAGAAGAAGCCTAGGCGTTTAACCCAGATTAGCACTTTGATTGCCAAAGTTGGCAAGACGAAGTCTTCTATAACGAACAGCCCTACTTTCATTTCAGTCAACAAAAGAAAATCCCACTGATTCTACTGTAAGTAATGCGGTCAGGAGAGATTACAAAGGCAGTAGTGTCAAGACAGCAAAGTGTCTAGGCTAACTTTACAGTTGGAAGCCGAGACTAAATGGAGAGAAGCAACTCAACCAGCATAGCTGCCACACCCGAAACTACCGTCCTTATAGGCACTAAAGGTTTGAATGAACCATTGTGAAAAAGGCTATTCTTCATCTAAGAACAGTGAAATTAGAAGTTCAGTGAAGAGGAAGCGAAGTATGGAAGGTATTTTTGTGGCTCTCACCTATCATTGGACATACTGGCAACTGCTTTTTATGTATCTGAGCCAACACTAGACTTACCAAAAGCACTTATGAAAACAGGCTATAAACATCTTCCTAAAAGAGCTGCTCAAAATATTCATGTTAGAAACAAATTTTGGAGTATCAGGTCCTTAATAAGGAGACTAAGTTACTCTGCTTGTTACACCAGTAAAGAGTTTCCAAGTACAATCACATTTACTCAAGGTTTTCTCCTCAGATGTTAATTTAAGTGTGAAATACCTACAGTTCAATTTCTATTCCTTGTAATTTCTAAGACACATATTTTTCATATTTAGTTACAGGAGAATAAAATATTGTGCAGGAATATAGATAATTTATTTTGTCTACAGACTGTATAAATTCATAAGCAGTACATCTCTGGTACACCGCTGTGTTCTCATGTGGTACTCATACCACATAGCATCTTATTCCATACACATACAGCAGAGCACACTCTAAGGGGTTTAAACTTTTAAAGGGAATACAATTGACATCATGGTTAATAACAGCTAAGAAATAAAGGAAATAATGTAAAAATACTAACTCTGATCTCCAAATGAACTGAACAATGTAAGTTTTAAAATTCATATGGAAATCTGACTCAAACAGTGGAGTGGCTATTAAATTGCAGGTTCTACTGTAATCTGGAAAAGGAAAAATTGTTATATATCCACATTTTCCATATGAGCACACAGGCACAATCAAAATCAAACAAGGATATCAGTTTGGACTTCTACCTAAGCAATAGGAGCTGGCTCCTTG